AGCACAACAAAAAAAAAAAAAAAAAAAAAAAAAAAAAAAAACACATCATAGTAAAATTAATACCTTCTCCGCTTCGCATCGAAGCTAATATACTTGTATTTTAATTTCTTTTATATAACATGAATGTCATAGATACTCCTTGCAGTCGGTAATTTTTTAGAGTTTACAACTACACACAATTTTATTTTAATTCGTTTATATAAATTAAATGACAGGGATGTTCTGCTCCTCTGAACACCCTATTTTCTAATACATATTCACATGCGGTAGACCGTAAAATATAATCATAGAAACACGCGCATAAAATTAACTAACCAAAAGTCTCTATTTGATTTGATCAATACGCTAATAACTTTTTAAATCATTTAATATTTACCTCATTGGGCTCGGAAAGTTCAAATAAGTCCAATCGATTATCATTCCATTGCTTGATAACGCTTCGCAGAGCCTCCCGTTCTTCGTGTCTTTTCATGGCCATAGTCATTTCTGGATTCATGGTAACCTGTAAATAAAAAAAAAATTGTCAAACTATTGTACTTAGTAAACGCGAACCAAGAATTTATAACATGAATAATAAATAGCATAATTTATTATCTCCATAATCAAGACTTTTATTAATACGGTACTTAAAAAACTAACATGATTAAGAATATTATAAAATATAAAAACATCAAAGTATTTAACTCTTATAATAAAATTTGTTGATAAGTTCAATATACTTAATTAAATTTGCCTACCAAATTTAATTTTTAATTGAGGAAAGCCTTATTTTATACAAATAAACATAATGTTATTTTTTTATATCTGGCCTTCTAAAACTTTATTGTTTCAAAATTATTTCAAACTTATAAAATTAATTCAACATTTTATTCTAGAAACCCCCTGGGCCCAATACACAACAATGTTCAATATACTTAAATCACTAAGGTACTACAAAAAAGTACGCAAAACAATAACTGCTTGAATACACCAAAACAATATTTGAAATTCGAATACATATTGTGTTCTTGAACTACTAAACTCGAAACTAAAATGAACAAGTGAACATTATCTAATTTATTTTTTTATTAGGAATAGTGCGAGGTTATTTTATTAAAATTATTGTATTTCATTGGTATATAAACATAAAAAACGTACAATGAGCACACTATCTTCATATATTTTTTAAAAGACTACTCGAAAAAAATTGGAAAAGTACTTCAACTCAGCAAAAAAAGGTTAAATGATAATGAAAGTAGAAAATAAATTAAATGTAATAGCAAATAAAGCCACACTAATATCAAAATTAATATCATTTAAAACATTAATGATTTTTATTTGAATATTTCTTCCGGAGCTACAATAGTAATAATAATAATGACAACAGTTTCTAGATTTTTTATTTAAATTAACATAATCTAGCAGTTTTCATAGTTTTTCTCTAACGATCGTTTTATTTTTGTTTTTCCGGCAATCAGTATCAATTTATGAGTGGTGCTTAAAAATATTTAAGAACTTAAACAGTTAATGCAATTCAACGAGATAGCCGACTAACATATGCCACTTTTACTATACCTCCTTGATAAATGAACAGTCTAAAAATAACATTTATAATCGATATAATTATTAAAATGGACAAACATAAGAATTAAAATTAATTTAAAGCGCCTTACTATTTTTAAAATACATATTAAAAAATCAAGAATGAGAAAAAAAAAATTTTTAGATTTTGTAATACACGGTAACTATCAAAAATAGAATATTTGTTGGCCAATAGCATAAAAAAAGTCAAGCCGAAACGGATAGCAGAACCTCTATAAAATATAAAGATTCTTAACGGTTCTTTAGTGGCGTGGCTAAAAACAAAACCCAGAACACTACACCACTAAGTCCATACTGTCACGTCGCTACAGTCTATTGAAGTGATGAAAACCTTATTATATTTTGTTACTAAATTCCAATACACGTGTAAACCGTATTGTGTGAATATGTCTATGTGTGACAAGAATTCAAAGATTGCGTGGTGTTTGAAAATAAAAAATCTATACATACAGTAATAGAATGTAAATCAAACAAGAAAATCAAAATGCGTCTAAAACACGTGATCGGTAGAACCATTTCATGAAATCATAAACTTGCACAATGTAAACTTATAATATTGTCTAGAATCTAGACAATTTATTTATATTTACCATCTAGACTCTAGATGGTAAATATAAAATAAGGGCAATAACTCAAGGGCATGACACTCTTGAAACTTAAATAGATAATAATGTACTACAAAAATATTTAAATTAAATAAATAAACACTAATTTGTAAATGAAAATAAATATTTAATATTTAAATAAAATCATTGAATTAATTGAATTTTAATAGTAGCGTTAGTAAAATTCATTAGAGATAAATCAAACATTTTAAAAGTTTTTATGTAAATTGTTAGCTAAACTTCTAACTTGATATTTTAACGAGATTTAATTTTAGTGTCAACTATAGAATTTTTTTTTTTTGACGAGTGAAAGAAAAAAGTTTTTTTTTGAATTTATAGCAATTATAAAGTAAATAGTATAATGTAAAGTATAATTGTGGTTGACACAACATTTTAAAACAATAATATAACAAGTGATTACAAAAACAAATCTATTAATACATTTAAAGAAACACACCTTTTATAAATTTTGATTGTCAAATTACAAATGGTTAAAATTGACAAACTTTATTTAATAAGCCATCTTATTCGTTTAATAAAAATTTTGCATTGCGTGTACCAAATATAATAGGATGTATTGTCGTCTGGACAAGCTCGAATAGTTATCATGACAGAGTTAAAATAATAAATGAATTCCGATTGCAGTCTGCTTAATTGGCAAAAAGGCCAAATCAATTCACAACACATAGGCTAGACTGAACAAATGAGTTATTTATTTTTTACGCTACATCCGTCCAATGTCCAACAAATAATGTGCATGAAAAAAACTAAAAAACTTCTACGCAAACGCTAATGAACATCCAATATACAAACATACAAGAACACAAACGCCCACATATCAACTGAATATCAGTTGAACAATTCGGTGAAACCTAAAAAATCGCAGATAAGGGCACTTCCACAGGCGATAAGAATAAAAATATCAATCGGTTTAAAAAATAACCAAGTTATTTAGTATAATTTGTTTTTTAAATATTCACATGGCATTGAGTCGTATAAATAATTGTAAAGGGTTGAACAATCAAAAAAATTCTATTTAGTGGGCCAACAAAAGTCTATAATTTAATGCGCGACTAAAAGGAAAATGCAAAATCCAAAAGAAAGAGTAGACATTAAAGTAGAAAAAAAATCTTAAGAATTGAATTCCTTCAAAAAATAATATTAATTATACATAAATACACAAGATGCCTTATTTTAATTTTTCAATCTTAACACAATCGCATTAAAAGAATAAATTTAAAGTAACAATAGTCGAGACATTATCGATTATACAAACGGGACATTTACATTATTTATTGGGGTAAATGTTTTCAAACAAAATCCGACTAGTGACAACCTTCCAGGAAGTCTTACGATAAGAAAATTACATTTTTCATTAATAATAACAATGTGTTACTCGGTTGGTTTCTTGCTGATAACTCTTAAATGATTCCGATTTTCGTGTGATTATAACGATTATTTAAAATACAATGCATTTGCAGCAACCAGCGGTAAAAAAATCGACTACACCGTTATTATTATAACGTTGTTTTACACACCACCGTACAGGTGGACTAAAGAACTGGGAATAAAATACATTAGTAGATATCCTAAATTCACCAAAGGAAATGTTACGGAACACACGCCAGCAGCGTGTCTGGTCTACCATGCAACCGGTCCGAACCACGACGCATTAATTATAACTCGCACTAAGACCGATACACATGACACGCCACACATTTCGGTCACCACCGCCACCGTGGTAAATAGATAGTAATACTGTTTAACTTGGACATCTACTCTGAAAAGCATCTAAGCAAACCAACGGGAAACGAATTAATTGCGCTACGTCGCCGCCACAGTGCAATGCTGCAGGTCGAGATTTACAAACTAATATATTGTTCACAGTCATCCAAGTGCATCGTTAACGTAGGTCGATTCGATACATTGCAGGAACTTTACATGTTTGCGAATTGAATTGCTTATCTATTTGTTTTGTTAAACAAGCGCACAGACGGAAGGCAACAGAGCGCACGGCGCTAAATCAAAGAAAATCCTCATTACATGCTATAACAACAATTGCAAGTTACTGGAATAATTTTGAAATCACGTAATAATTTTGAAATCTCTAATAACGTTTCTATTGAAATTCATAAAATAAATGATTACATAAAACATCACGGTAACAACTATGTAGCGTAAAAGGCCTTTTCGGTCAAAAATATAATTTCATTCGCGTTTGCAAAATCCCACTAATTCACAGAAACATTAATAAAATTGATAAATGTTTTTGAAAACCAAACGACGTGTTGATTAGGCGAAAACGATAAAACATCGAGTACGTTTTAACTAACGAGTTGACAAGAAGGACGAAAGATGGGACTTCGTGTTGGAGAGATCACGCCCACGACGGGAAATAGCCAAGTTGTCCAACACATGCCACTAAAAATTCACACTTAGTAGCTACCTAGAGATTAGTAGCAACAGTAATGCGTGCTCTATGACTCAATAGTCTATTAAATAGGCTTTTGTATGGAAGAAGTTTTCTCTTTAAACTGCGTATAACGATGTCATTAACTATTATAAACAATATTATTGTCTTACGTTGAAAACCTAGAACACAATATTCAATTGCAAACCATCAAATATTACACCGTTGTGCATCGTAACCCATTGATTTTTCAATGGGTAGGGGAAAAAATAACGTATATTACAGATTTTGACTAACGAGGAATGCGACAAACCTAAAAACACTAATTCTTCGTTGAACGACATTCCTTACCTGCCATTTTCAAGGTTACAGAACAACAATTAATTAAACTAAAAAAGTAGATTAAATTATTTTTAACACTAAGATATTAAATACAAACACTCAATAGATTTACAATAACATATTTCATCATTAACCTTATATGTGATTATAATTGGCCAACTCGTTGAATACAATATTAATATTAAAATACGTTTATCAAGCTGCGTTTTATCTTGTTTGAATTAAAATGCACAATCACTCTACTACAGTGAAAAAAATCTTTTCCGATATTACTTATATTTAGATTTATGGGATTATGTCAAACTAGCTAACAAAATTAATGTTTATATAAATGAAAATAAAAACAATAAACATAAATTAATGAAATCGTGAGAAAAATAATTATTAAATAATATAAATAAGCTTAATGTTATCATTTCACATTATTTGATAACCAAATTAAAAATTATCAATATAAACAACCACAATTAAGAATGTATCAGGATATTTTTGACACTGAAATTTTTAATTTCATAAAATTATTTATTTATTATATTTGCTTCGTATTTATTTTTATTTTAAATAAAAAACTATTTTAATATATTTTTAATATTACACAAAAATTTAAATATAAAATAGAGTGATTTATTTTTTATTCGATTTAGATAGATAGTAAAAATATTCATAAGGAGAAAATTGAAAATCTAAATAGGTATATAATGTAAGTTTTATTTAATAACTCACACTTATGATTTAGTTTAGGTTAATATCTGGTGAATTTTGAACAAGCTCGTTTTTTTAGAGCCTAGAAATAAAATGTTAGGCACATAATAATGAAAACCGATAAATAACAATTTATTAACAGACATGTTGCAAAAACTTGAATATTGGTTAAAAATAAGGGGGATAATTCTATAGCAGGTTTTAAAAGGCTTCACTATATTTTAATACATGCATGTATGTAGACAGATGTCTTATAAACCAGCTACACATGTATATTGGTAATATATACATTACATTAAATAGTGGTTTCTTTTTATTAAAAGTAGTAACTAAATTTCAGCGGAAATCGCTCTTACAATCACAGGAAATCACAGAAAGTTTGTAGCACCTAAGACACTGTACAATATTGTAATTACTGATGATTTCGATTTATTACAATTTATTATTTGTCCCACATTATATAGCTGTATGTATTTTAGATGAAAACCAACCGCCCATCCTGAGTGGAACACAGGAAATGAATAGGCTCGCCCCTATTCTACTGTTATTGTTTACATAATTATTTTTCGTAAATCTTCTACAAATCAAGGTCAGCAAGAGGAATTATGGTACCGAATGGGAGACACAATTATATCACTATAGATATTGACAACTGACATTCCAATTTTATTGGATTTCAATAGATAAAAAGGTAATAAAATTAAACAAAGACAATTTCAAATTTTTCATTCTTTTTTTAAGATGCTACAATATTTTAAATCAAATATTAATTTACTCGAATCTTAACCAATCTTAGATAAATTGCACACAAAATATATCATGGATTCTGTATTCACCGCATACTTAATATAAAAGAATAATTTAACAATCGAGCTACTTAGATTTTGCAAAAATACTTTTTTGAATCAAAATAATATTCCGAATACAAAAATAACTTTCAAGTAATAGTATTTTTAAACTACAACGAGACTAAGGGTATTTAAAAAATAATAACCTATATTAAACAAAAATATAAATTTGAACACCTGTAAACTAAGCTGCGTAAAAAATACATATCACTATCGTATTTTTTATTTAAATTTTTTTAATATCCTTAGAAACTACTTATAGAAAATGTACCAATAATAAAATAAATTACTTTGATATAAAGTCATAAATTCCATCAATCGTTTTTAATATTAATTCATAAAAGAGATAATCAAAAATAAAATAATAAAATAATTTGAATTTTATATCGACTGTAGCGAGACCAATTACGATGTATGGTTCAGAGTGTTTGGCAGTTGACAAAAAAATATAGCACAGATGAGAATGCTTAGATGGATGTGTGGAGTGGCTAGATAAGATAGAAACGAACATATAAGGTGGGTGTATAAATATAATGTCAATCGTGGATATAATTAGAAAAAGTAGACTTAGATGGTTTGATCATGTTATGAGGTGAAAATTTAAGAACAGTTATAGAAATAAACATTGAAGGAAGAAGAGGTGGAGGTAGAGCAAAATAGAGTTGGAGGGATATTATTGAATGCAATATGAGGACGGCTGATCGGTAGATGATGTGATAGATCGTATCAAGTGGAAGTTTAAGATAAGGGTAGCCGACCCCAAGTAGTTGGTATTAAGGCGAGAAAAATAAGAAGAAATATAAGTATTTTTTAGATTAATTATATTCTTATCGATGAATTAAAGCAAAATATACTGCAATTTATTTGACAATTACAAAACGAGCATTCTTAAAAAAATAATCTAAATAAATTATTACTACATTAAAAAGAATGTTCTTATAGACATCATTAAGTTGCTACACGTCCGTGCATATCATCAACACTACAACCTAATTTTGTCTATGATCATCTGTCTTTGGAAAAATTACAATGTATTATGATTAATTGCTATCTTTCGGCAATTATTAAGAAAGTTTTTAATTATTCCACCAATTTAAACAGCAATAAATTCTCAACAAAAATTGTATGAATATTTCATTTGTAATTTAGAAAAAAAACGCCAAATAAAAAAGACATTATATTTTATTTATTAGCCAAACATTTTAATTTCACAATGATCAATGAACTTGAAAGAATGCATGTCTAGTCACTTTTTTCGACGAATAAAAATTCAAAATAAATAACAAATAACTTCATAAAATCAAAATACAAATTTAAGAATTTATTATATAGAACACTTATAGCACCTTTAAAACAAATTCTAAATAAAGAAATATATGAATCATTTATGAAATAACTTATATTAATGTAATAATTATTATTAATATATTGATACCGAAAATTACGATTATTTTTAATTTATATAAGCCAAAATTCAATATTATTGAGAGGCCAACCAATCGAAAATTCAATCAAACCAGACTGTTTATCTATCACAAAGAATACTTATTGAAATCTTTCGAAAATATCCCACAAAAGCACCTATTATTATAATATCCATCTAAAATAACAAAAATAGAAAAAACCTAAAACGGAACCAAAAACATGTTTTTCAGGCATTGAAGTTTTTTTCTTTATAACTCCCATGTCTTAGGAGCTAATTAATTTAATAGCAAACGTTTTATAAAATCGAAAACATAAATAACATTAATGATATAAAACAATTATACGTCCGTACAAACTATTTAACCGTTGGTGTAATATTTACTAGGAAAAAAATCTAGGAACGTTGAAATGTGTGTATTTTATGAATATGATGCCAAATAAGTGGATTTTGGTGAGAGTCCATGTTGTATTCGGCGAATACCAATTTCGTACGTGTTTAAGGTGTAAATAATAATTATCTTTTGTACAGTGCTTATTTTTATCGTTATCTTTATGGGCTATTATCATTAAATACAACTGTGAAATATGTTAAGCGAATCGAGGACGGGCGGTCGTTGTCAAACTGTACAAGTTTTATCTGAATGATAACCCACTTAAGTTAACAGATAAAAAAAATGAAACTTGACAAAGTTAATTTAAAAAATTGTCTATCATGTTATGACAAAGACGGTCGCCCTTCGATGGCACTCACAGGTAAGAGGTTACCTGTTCGGCAGCCATCTTTGCACGCAATCTATACGTAAACTCTGTGACGGCAGACGACTCTCGATATAAAGCGATAACGTTATTACACCAACTTTTGCACGACATTCGGTGGTTAAAATGCTATGGCAACAGACTTAAAAGGCAACGCTGACCTGTATTTTTAGCAGCTATTCCTTGTCATGTTGACATTACCGTCGTCGTTAACAGGTAGCCCTGGGGCCATATCGGAACTGCGTAGCGGGAAAATGCGGTCACTGCGTACCAGCGGCCGTTGTGTTCTCACCTTTTCTCAATCATTCCACAGTGACACAAAAAATAAGATAAATACACAAGTAAACAACACGAAATAAATAATTAAACGCACACGCTACGCGAGTGATACGCGCGTACACAACAATCAACACACAACGGCGAACACGCTCGGCGGCGAATTTACAACAAATACCACAACGCGTACAGGCATTGACGGACGGAGGGGAATAATAAATACAATAATAACAATACAGCAAGCCGCGCGTACAAACGACACGCACCAGACGACGACTGCTTAACGATAAAACTGGCCGACGACCGATTACGCATGCGCAACCCAGGTGAAACCAGATTCCTGATTAGGGCGCTGCCGTTTGGTCAAACTAGTAGACACTTCCTTAGACAATTGTCACGTCAGCGTTGGCTAGTTACGTCCCTGATAGATTCTTCTTGCGCTTACAGAAACCTAAGCATTCGATTTATTGAGAACTGAGAATGTAAAGTCGGGTTTTCAATTATGCAACACATATTCAACTGAACAGTATTGAATAATATTTCACACATTGTGGAATTCACAAAACAAAAATTCTTTCACGAGGAGACCATAGAAATCTTTAAGTTGATATTTCAAAAATGATGATATGAATCACCAGGGTTATCTGCTAAAATTAAACAGGTCAAAAACCCAAATAAATTGGATCTATTCTTTATTTTATAATTATTATACGTAAAAAAGTAAACTTATGATCAGTAACGTATCCAGTAGAGGCTAAAAAGACTTTGCTTAAGCAATATCTATTTTAGGTAAAAATGATCACTAAAAATCTTGTTTGGTATTAGCCCTCCCCATTGCAAATCCTGACCATACACTGCTTTTAACATTTAAAATACTATTAGTTAAATATTTCGATTTCATTTTTTTCGTTAATGAGCTAGGTCATTTTTGAATTATAAATAATCATTTAAAAAAATAAATGAACAAACTAAGTGCAATAATTGTACAAGTCTAATTTTTTAGGGAATTTTTTTATTAGTAACGAATAAATAAGATTATTCTATGTATTTTAATACAAAAACGATTTATATGATTAGAATTTTTGGAAAGATATGTAATTTAGTAAAAAAGAAGCCCTTCAATAGTGTCACCTCGAATTTTTAAAAAGAGTGGACTAATAATAGTTTACCACCAAAGTACAGATCAATCCCAGAAAGAGATGATTGCGTAACTCCTACAAACCTCGTTAACACGAACACGTATGTGTCCATGTTAAAAAATATACACTGGATACTACAGTGCTAATTAATTTTAAATAAAGTTAAAGAAAATAATTTACTAAACAATGGTTGGAAGCAGGATACCATCTAAGGGAAGCATTGAGTACACATGACTCAGATGGCACTAAAGAAAACTCTAATAGGTATCCAGCAATGTGAATTATAGAATGGAGACACACAAAGAAAAAATATTGGTTCTAGTCAGAGAATTTTCTATAGGGATGGAACTATTAACATATTCTTCAATCGTTTCAGGTTTTTTTTAAACATTTGCAGTTTGCAATCCTTTTAGAATTTTGTTAATCAAAGTAAATTATATTTTGTTATTCTTGGACCAATTATCAAATCAAATCCTATAAAGGAACAATAGGTTTAAATTTCACATCTACAAATACCTATGTATGATAGTAGATTCTTACTATCATATAATAATCGTTACAGATTCAAAAATAAATACACTAATAAGTCATTTATCATATATCACTTAAACAACTTTTCTTATAGTTGCATTAGTTTATGACATATGCTAGAAATCTAGAATTCGTTAATATATTAATCATTTATATTAAATATATCTTAACTTATCTGGACTATTATAAATTGACAATTCATATAATATATACAATTTATTTAATAAAAACTATAAATTTATTTTAGTTTGAATACACATCCATTTATCAGGTGTTGAATCTGGTTTAGACCATACCCCTGGTTTTTTTTTTTCATTATAGGGTACATGCCAAGTTCCATCATCATGTACTTGAGTAGTTTGTAAATAAAATAAAGGTTCCTAAAAAGTATTTAAAGAAATATAACAGTAGTTTTTGTAATCTAATGAATAACTTCAAAAATAGAAAAGTTTCATAATAAACAAGCTGATAATACATTTTTAATACTATCTACATAATATACTAACAGTCACTTTAACATTATTCCCTGGGCGAATTTTTAATCCTAGTCTATGTTTCTGTAACCATCGTTGAAAAATGCTTTTCATTACAGTTTCACCTAAAAGAAATTTATGTCCTCGCATCAAATCTCTTGTCAGTATTTTTGTTCCAAGACCACTATACATAGCTGCATACAACACAAATGGATCATCTTTTGATCTAACACACAAATATAAATTTACAAGTCAATCAAATTATCCAACAAATTAGATCTGTTAAATAATATAGCTACTAACAAATCATTAGTTAGGAAAATATGAGCATTATTCTTTATATAATCCAAGTTTCTTCCAAGATTTTGGATTAAATGTGCACGACCAATTAAAAGTACCTTCAACTTTTTATCAATAAGTATTTTCATAACAGTGGTAATCTAAAAAAAAATGAAATTTTATTACTTAGTTAAATAAAAATATATATGATAATATAAATTTTAATACTACACAGATATATAAAATAGAAGGAATGAATTCATAATGCTACTTTCAGAACAATATCTTGTTTAATTTCATTTTTATACATATAGTTAATTTTAACTCTATTAATTTTTAATATTAATTATAATAGAGTGACTAATTAAAAATTATTTTAAACAATTATATGAAATTTAAAAAAAGTGTGATTTAGCACAGTGAAAATCATTACAGAATGAAATCTGACAATGAATAACATCAATATCATAAAATGCCAAAATATAGTATAAATAAAATATGTGTATAAAAAAGTTATTTTTTAAATAATTTTATATACAAGACCATAAGAGTTACAAGAACAAAATATTTTTTTGACATGTCATCATCCTTGACTTCAAATTTTCTTAAGAAGTGTGAAAAAAAATTTCAAATAAATCAATTTGTGTACTCATGTTTTTCAAAAAGTTCTGGATACTCTGCATTTTTGAAAACGGGGCGCTATAAAATGTGCATAGTTTTGTGATCAGAATATACAGCAACTTATAGGGATATTTTACAAAAATAATTATAACTAAAAAATAAGCATTCCTATCAAAAAAATACAAATTAGCATTAATATCAATATAAAATAATAGATACTGTGAGCTACTAAAAATTAAATTTTTAAAGTTTTATGTTTATGTAATAAAAATTGATCAATTTTGGCTAATATTATTTAAAATAATAATTTCAAACTAAAAAATGTGTAAAATACTAAAAATACTATATGTTTAATACTGATGTTGGTAACAATGTTCCCAAAATATGAATACGCAAATTTTTAATATTTATTAAGTAATATTTTTAGTTAAGTATTTTTTAGTTTAAAATTAACATTTTAATAATATTATTAATTTTCAATTTGTTTTTCTATTCTCAAATATAAAAATTATAAAAAAATAAATCTTAGTTTTTAAGTTATTTTAAACATTAGAAAATTTTTGTACATTATAAAGGTGTTCAATCAGATGAATTATGCATATTTTGGCGGTCTACTGCTTTTTGTTTCATACACTTACTGTGTTTATAGAGACATTAGTACAAAAATACATTTGATCAATTTGGGTACTTTTAAAATAATAAAATTATAATAAAATTTATAATTTATAAATAAATTTGTCTTTTAACTCAAATATAATACAAAACTAATTTTTCATAACTACAAAATAACTATGTCTCTTTTGATATGAGCTATATTGAGATAAAAAATTGTTCTAATCTATTAAAAAAAACTAATGAAACACCGAATCAAAAATGGCATTTAAAACAATTATTTGTTACCACTTTATATTACCTACTAAAGAATTATTATTTAATTTTCCACGATAAGCATATGCTACATTTAAGCCATCTACTACTACATCATATGGACTTGAGTTTTTAATGAAATCTTCAAAAGTTTGCAATTCTGTTGGTGTTGAATTTTTGAAAATATTGTTTTGAATCATCACGTTTTTCATGAAACATTCATTTAACTGTTTGAATTCATTATTAGTAACTTCAACTGGTTTCAAAATTTTTTTACAAACATTACATTGGCCTCTAAAACATTTTTTCATTTATATTACATTAAACATACAACTTGTTCTTTAGATTTAAAATTAAGAAGATTAATTAATTCATACAAATTTATAATTTTATAGAGGCCATTTAAAATTTGTCATAGTTTGCCAGAAAATTTGAAAATAATTGTTTTTTTATAAAAAATAAAATTAAAAAGTAATTTTAGACCCAAAATTATTTTAAAATGTTTACTTATATAATATATATATATAGGTATTAAAATCTTACATTTGATGAATTATTTTGGTATCATTGACTGTACAACCTAATGATTTAAGATTATTTTTCAATAAATTTGCTAAGTCTTCACGTATAACATACTCTGTTTCTTTTAAAAAATCTAATATTTTCCAGTATTCAATATTTAAGTTTTGTTTACATAAATTAAACCATGACTGAAATACTTCAGTTGAGTGCTCAATGTTTGGATTATAACTTTGATTGATTAAATTCCAACCCAAATCAATTTCTCCTTCTTCAAAAGCTTTTTGAATAAGAACACTATATGTGTTGCCTGTGATATCTTTATTATTATTAAATGATTTTAAATAATCAAAACATTTATGCCAAGACGAAGTACAACACAATCCTATCACTAAACCTGTAAAAATTCATATAGATGTTTAATAAGATATATTTGCTCTTTACTATAATACAATACCTTCAAAAACAGTACCACTGAGTAAATTTGAATATTTTTTGAATAAATAATCACAACGAGATTCAATATTTTTGCATTCTTCATCTGTCAACTGATTTCTTGATGCATAACATGCACGAAAAAATAATAGTTCTATTCCTATATTGATTTTTTCATTTTTTTTAATATATTTCATGAATGTTTTAGCTAAATCTAAACGTTTATTATGAGCACAAGCTTCTAAAATACATCCATTTATATTTTTTTGATTAATATATCCCTTAGATATAGCCAATACATCATTGCATACTATTTCCCAATCATATATTTCTTTATTACTCACAAAATCTGTAATTATACGTTTTTGTTCAATACTAGCAGCTCTACCATTTATTTTTGAAGGTTCTTTAGAATTTTCATGAGGTAAAGTTGATGATAGTAACTTTTGATTACCCTTCAGCTCACTTGAAGAATATATTTTATGAAGTAAAATGTATAATTGTTGTTTTCTTAAAAAATTCATAGCTGAACAATTTTATTTGAAAACCTTAAAAGTTAAATTAAGTGTCTACATATTAATCATTGTTAGTTATATAGCTAGAAATTAAAAAAATATATTGCTAATAATATTGCAATAACACATGCTGCAAAGTTACTAATAGTTCAGTAGATACCAAAAAACTTAATCACAGATTTTTATAAACTATGTGTTACCATTAGCATTTTATAAAGAAATATTCTTAAATTTAAATATGATATAAAAAAAAATTTTTAACTAAAAAAATTGATATTTAATAGTGATAAAACTTTATTTTCAAGAAAATTATTAGTTAAATAATATTTTTATATAATAATATATTATATTATTCTTGAGAACACCTCAGAATAATGTTGAAAACCCACTGAATTTTATATTTAATTTATTTAAAACTCTCCAAAAAATGAACACAAATATTTAATTCTTAAAAGTATTTAAACGTTTTACCTAATTAATTATTTGACCCTGTAAGTATTTTCATAACCAATAATGGTACAGTAAGGTCCTTAGACAACAATTACAAACTATGAAATTGATATTTCTTTAATATTAGAAAATAATAATTGACATCAGAATAATTAGATTTTTCCTACAGTATTTTAAATTTGTAAATTTTTATAACAATTTAATGAAAATTATTAAGTAGAAAATTTTAGCATAAACGTTTTACTTATCACGTGAATAACAATTTATTATCAAGAAGAATATTTCAGATAAAACCATAGTTTTAGATAAAAAAAGTAGTGCTACTATGCACTATTCGTCAAAAGTTTGTTTCTTATTAGGCGGGATCTCACAGAAAAACCTGCAACAAATAATTATATTTTCGTAATTATATTTAAAGCAAACGATAACTAAATGTATCGTATTCTATGACACAAAGAGGTACATAACATTCTTTTCGAAAACGAGCAAAAGTAAAGAATACATGTAGTAAACCGAGAGCTGTAAAAAATGAAGTCCTTTTAAACTGCTACCATTTTTTTTTACCTCGTTAAAAATAATTTTTTTACGTTATATTCCTCCAATGTTTAAATCGAGTTTAAATTTTACTAATCACTCTATAGTCAAAAGTAGTAATAGATGGTCTATTGTCGATCATTTATACCAATTATTTACGTATTTTAATAATCCAAGGTATTCGATATCAATTTTGATTATTTTCATAATTCCATTCTTTTTATTTGATTATGTCCATCTCTACTTCCTTTTAAAAATACTGATCAATTAGGGATATCAAAATGATACATTTCAATCTCAAAATATTTTAATCTAATAATTCAAATGAATGATTGTGTCATAGATGAAATGTTTTGTAGGTCATCTCAATAAAAAATTGCAGAGGAATGAATTTTTCCCACAGTTATAGTTATTTTTCTATGTGTAGAGACTATTTTAATTTTCCTCATTTGAGATCTATTTTTTTTTAGCTTACGTAGCCTTATTGCTAGTACTGTAAACGCCATTGATCAAAGGTATAGTACTATTAAAAGTACTCAAATTTTTTTATTAAAATATATATTAATTTTTTTTTTTTTATAAAGATTTAAGACTACTTATGTCACTGAATGGCTTGAATAAATCTAAGACCACAAAAATTTAATGTAACTTTCCCTAAAATATACAAAATTAGTTTTTAAAGAGTGAAGGATTTAAATTAGATTTTTTTAGAATTAGAAAAAACAATCAATAATATATTACTAATTAATCGTTTTTTTTCTTTTGCATTTTAAATACAAATACTCAAAACTATTATAGGTGATAGAAATCTTTTTAATACTAAGAAAGAAATTTGTTTGAATTCCAAAATTGCAACAGTGCTATCATGTAAATTATAAAAGTAAATTATATTAATTTATAGATGGATACACTGACGTTATAGTAAGAATTGGCTATCCAGTATCAGATTAGTTCCCGGTAGCGGTACTCTTGTTTGGTTTTCTTATACTAACTGGTGCTCATACACTTTATCTATATAGTTTTGTATACTATACAACATTTATGTTCTACCATAATAATGTGTATGTTATTTAGTAACGTAATATATATTTAATGTGTTATCGGCGTTAACGTAGTATGTACCATCGTGTTGTTGTTAATCGTTCTTCATAATGTTTATATTCTAATATGAACACTATCTCTCGGGCGTTAAGTATACCTATTTAGTATTTGTCAATCCATTGATATTATAAAAAAAGTACCGGCACTTTTATTCAAGTTTACTATTTTTTCATTTGCCGGTTTGACATCTTGTTAGCTTCTTTTTCATTACGTATTCCACGTTAGTTAAAATTTTTATATGTTGAACTACTTCTTTAGCATACTACACAAAAGCCGAATAATTCTTCTTTTTTATATCACCTAAGCAAATGTTTTGGAGTGTGTGTACTAGTAATGATAATGATCAATGAACATTAAATATGTGACTCGTTTATCGTGTCAGACATGCTTGAAACCATAATATGAGCTCCGGACTTTTACTAAAAGGTAAACAAATAAATTCAAGAAGTAATATTGTAATTTCAATTTTGTAAGAGTGATTTTATTTGTAGGTGACAAGAGTGCTATTGACGATTGTGGTTACAAATACTTATCATGTTCACTGCGCGTGTGAGCCATGAAGGCGAAACTTTTCGTATATCAAGCGAAATAGTTCAGCAATCTAATTTGTTTTTCCATAGTGCTGTATTTCGGTTACCAACCAGCGATTCAATTGACGTTGATTTTGACGAAGCTAATATCAATTTGATAGATATACAATTTGATGTTAATATGGATCCGAATAGTGAAAAGTATACTTTTTTTTCTACTATAATTATTTAAATATAATTTAAAACCCTTGTGAAATTATTGTAAATTTTAGAAACTATACTATCAATAATATGATCATTAAAATGTAATTAAAAAACAAAATGTTGATTTTGAATTATAGCCTTAGAAATAGTGAAATGTCAGAATAAATTATAACTCTCAAATAAAGCTTTTACACATTTTAAATTAAAATACTAATCCTCATTTACATTAATTATATTCACTACTTAATGTTTATCAACTGTTGTAGATAATTGAAGACAATCTTTTAATTTTCATAACCAGTAATATAAACATAAACTGTAATTATATTAAAGATTTAAATTTTATTAAAACTTACAAAAAAAATTTTTTTTTGTTATCAATTATTTTAAATTAAATACAGAGGCCCTACCAGGTTTTGCTGTTCTTTAATGCAGATGGTATTTTAGTGTTATTTATTTTTTTAAACTAATTTTCACAGTTTTAAACTATGTTAAAAGTATATTTTTTATCAATTGTCTCTAATAAGAAAAAAATACATAAATTTTTTCAAAATTTCAAGTCTTGTTAATATTGTTTCTTACAAACGAATTTGATAACTTTAGAATATGTAATAGTTGAGTTAGAAACATTTTAATATATAGAATGATTATGCAGTGTGGGCAAAGTATACATTTGTACTTCTATTTAAATATAGACTTGTACAAACTATATCAATCTTCACTACATATATACTTATCATATTGAAATGCTTGTAAATCAGTTAGTACTTACTATAAAAATATTATTGCTCCATCAAAAAACTTTTTAAGAAAACAAACTCTAATAATTTTTAAAATTTTAGAAAAAATAAAAAAAATTTCTCTTGACATAATACAAAACTAAAAAAATTATTAAAAAAAAAAGTGATACAAAATATTTGCTGGATCAAGTTATAAAAGATGTCAAAACCTGTTGGGACACTCTGTATTCAATTAAAAATAATTGATAATAAAAATATAGTGTCTATAAGTTTTAATAAAATTACAATCTTTAACATAATTTCAGTTTGTTTGTATTGCTGGTTATAAAAACTTGAAATTCGTATTCAATTATTTGTTGACAAATTTTAAGTAGTGAATACCACTAATGTAAATAGCAAATAGTATTTTAATTAAAAATGTATAAAAGTTCTGATTGAGAATTATTTAAAAAGATAAGTAACACAAATATTCCCTGTATCAAAAATGATTAAAAATGTCAAAATTGGGGGGGACATCCTTTATTAATATTTGTTAATTAGTTAAATTATAAAAGTGTTATACAATTTAATCTATTTATATATCTAGATGTGGAGAAGCAAGGCTTGTTCCTATGCCACAGTTTTTAATCAACAATCCGAATATATCAATCTTGCCAGCAAGAAATCTTCAAAGCTCTAACACATCTACTAAACCATCTCCTGTATCTTCAGTCAACAAAGTGTCACGAGGTAAATTTCTCAAAAAATATTAAATAATATTTCATTTAAGTGTAAAAAAATTATTTTTTTGTTTTTATTTAGGAACATCTTCATCTATATCTGAAGTTCCAGTAACTCAAGAACAAACTGTTATTAATGATAAAATAGTATGTACAGTTAAATTAAAGTTTTTGATTGTACTATATACATTTTATAAAACAAGAAATTTAGAAGTAAAAGAAGTAATTTCATTTTCCCAACAATTTGAGATTTGAAGAAAATATTGAATTTGAAATTATTATTTCATTATTCTTGTTATGCTAATTAATACTCTTAATTATTTTTATTATTTAAATTTAAAATTTTATATGACTACTATGCTTTGCCTAGCTGTGGGCCCCAACTTATATCTATGGTCCTGCAAGCTTTATGTGCCTACGACACATTAGGCCCTTTTCTAACAATGCTATTCTGTAATAGTTATGGCAATGGTTCTTAATGGAACCTTTCTTCTCAACTAAAGGCCTTGCCTTGTCATTGCAAGTCTAGTTCTTCATTCTCCTCTGTTAAGAGCTAGTCTTTTCATGTCTATGTATTGACTACAGTCAGCTTGTCTTATCATTTCCTCTATGCTTTCCTTGGTCTGCCTCTACCTTTGTGTCCATTTATTCGTCCTTCAATTATATTTTTCATAAACGAATTTTACCTCAGTAGTTGACCAAACATTTTTCCACTTTTTTTATGGTGTTTAACAGATTTTTTTTTTCCCTATTTGGTTTAATACATCTATGTTACTTTTCATTTCTGTCCAGCTGACTTTCAGCAATCTACGCCATGTGCCACATTTCCATGATTTCCAACTTCTTCTTATCCATTGATGGTCCATGTTTCACTGCCATATAATAATACGCTCAATACATAGCTTCTGACAAAATTTTTTCTCATCTTTATATTAAGTTTCTGTTCATAAATAGCTCCCTTTTTTGCATAAATGTTCTCTTTGTCTAATTTCTATTGAGCATCTACCATCACTAGTAATCATACTTCCTACGTACCTAAATTGTTAGACTTGCTCTATTAAATTATTATCTATTTCCAACTTCACTAAAGGAATTTCTTTTACTTTTGTCACCACCATTGTTTTTGTTTTATTTGCATTCATTTTCATTTGATACTCCTGCAATATTTTAGTGAGAGTGGTTGAAGATCTTTGCATGTCTTTTTCCAATTTAGACACTAAAGCAATGTCATCTGCAAATCATATACAGTGGATCTTTTCTCCATTTATGCTTATTTCTTTAGAGTTTCTCCTATACGTGTCTATGATTTCTTTTACAAATAGATTGAATAGATAAAGTGATAACGAACAACCTTGTCCTACCCCTGTTCTAATTTTTGCTGTTGTACTATCTTCTCCTACCTCTATTAAAGTCACCTGTTTCTTGTATAGTAATATCATTATTCATCTGTCCCTCCAATCTATTTGTGTTTTTTTCATAGAGTTAATCAGTATAGCCCAGTTAACTGTGTGCAAAGGCTTTTTCTAAATCAATAAAAGTTATAAATGTATTTCTATTTACATTTAGTCTTCTTTTCGTGAGTACCTTTAGGGCAAGAATTGCTTCTCTTGTACCAATGCCCTATCTAAAACCGAATTGGTTTTCATCAAGCTCTTCTTCGTTTTTATTCCTTATCCTATTTTTTATGATGATAAGTAGTATCTTGGACACATGTGATGAGAGACTTATTTTTCAGTAAGTCTTGCATTCTATGGAATTTTCTTTTTTAGGGGTTAGTACAATTTTGCTTTTGGCAATATCCTCTGGGATGTTTCCATCCTTATACATTTTCTTAATCATTTCAAATAGCTTATACCTGTTATTTTTTCCGGCGTTTTTTAATAATTCTATCGGGATGTCATCTACTCCTGTCGCTTTAGCTTGTTTCTATTGACTTAGTGCTTTAACAAATTATCTTTTGGTAATATCTGGCCCTATGCCTTCTTTGTTTGACTCAATTTTATTTTTGATATTCATTTCATTTTCTCCTATCAATCCTTCATACACATCTATATACTCTTTCCATCTCGTCGCTATTTCATATTCATCTAGAATCAGTTATCCATTCTTACCTTTAACAGTTTTACTTCTTGGCTTCAGTAATCTTGACATTCCTTTAATCATTCCATATGCTTTGTTCATTCTATTTGCAGTCAATTTCTTCTTTTCAACTCTGCACTTTTAGATAATGCTGTTCTTTATTATTCTATACATCGCATCATCAGTCTTCCTTAGTTTATTGTGGTATTTTATTAAGTTCATTATCTCATTTTTTATCCATGGTTTCCTTAGATTCAGTTTCCTAATCCAATTGATTCCTCAGCAGATTAACAAATATTGCTGACTACTTCCTCCCATGGAGGGTCTGTACCAGCAGTTATTATTCCATTTTGAACTTTGTTTTGTTTCTTCATTTTTTAGTTTTTCTATGTCTCATATTTTACATTTGGATCGATTTGTAATTTTCATGCGTATTATTATTAATGGAACCAAAAAATAAAAATAATTTTGTTCTTAAGATTAAACTTATTAGTTATTAATACATACATTTTTTAACTTGTAGATTCAGAAAAATACTGATCCAAAAGTTTCTTCCAAAAGAAATATAAGTGATACAGTTGATGATAAGTAAGAATTTATGAAATTTAATAATAATTTTTAACTTTTATTATTAATTATTCAAACCCTGTTTTTTTATGTTGATTCAACCTTTCAACTTTCAAGCCCTACTCATACCGAACTGAACTTTTAATTTTTTAGTTAAACCCAAACCAATACATAAATTGTAGTCATTTTCAGACAAAACATTTTTATATCACAATTCAAAGAATTCATTGTGATATTTGATTATATTAGTTCCATTTTGAAACCAATTTAAAAAGAGATAGTTTAATTTTTTTAATTTTAAGACTGATTTACAAACTAAACTTAACACTCCAAGTTTAGTTTGAACATTACTAATTAATGTATTAAGTTGAATTGCGTTATTTTATCAATTATTTACATTAAATTCAATAAATATAAACTGTTATTTTAAAGGATTGCTATATCCTGGGAGTTTTAGTGAAATAGTGTCTTTATCTTTTAGGAAGTCATACTAATTGTTACTATTCTTAATTTGAAAGTCAATAATAATAGGCTTATATTGGTCATCAAACTTTTTGTTTATCTTATATTGAATATTCATTGAAAATTGTACCTTTTTATCAGCTCACAATAACTGAATAGTTATTGAATAGTAAAATGAATATTTTTGTTATATCCATCATGAAGACATAATTATTTTTTTAGTTATAATTTTAAGAAAAATAAAACTATATAAATACAAAATTGAGCACAACGATATTCTTAAGTCTTATTATAAAACTATGATGTCTATAGTCTATAGACTATAGACTATAGGTCTATAATTATAAATAAGTTGTTAACTTAATGTATTTTTATCTAATTTAAGACCATTTAAAGTTCCAAGGCTCTCTGTTTCTAAGTTATCGCAAAAAAAAGTCAATAAGGTAATTGAACAAAAAGTTGCACTAAAACCAATTAAAACCACTAAAACTAGTACAATGAATGATGCCACAAAGAAATTGAGTTCTCCTACCAAATTCTCCAACATTCAAATCAACAAGCAATCATTGCCTAATTTAACTAATCGAGTAGTTCCTCATACTCCTACTAAGTCAACAGTTAATTTAACTAGAGATGTCTTAAAGAATGCAGCTAGTTTGGAAAATGAAAAAAATGCATGTGAAAAAATAAAAACGTTTGAAGTAACTATCAATGGTTCATTTATGAATCAAAGAAACATAAAAAAAGAAGAAAATAAAATTACTGTTCAATGTGAAAGGTAACAAGCTCGATATAATTTTTATAGAGATTTAAACATATATAGGTTAAAGTCTAACTATTGATAATTTACAAAAAAAAAAAAAAAATAATAATAATAATTCATAATTTTTTAGTGACAATTTACCACCAAAGTCTATAAAAAATTAAAGATCAAATATAGTTTAGTTTCTTAAAAAGTTTAAGAATTTAATTTTAGGATAATAACTAAATTTAATTGTACATATATCCTTGTTGATTCCCAAAAAAACGTTTTTATATTTTTACTGGTAAATTTATTATCAATTATTTTTATTTTTTGTACTTTTAGTGAAGCAATTTTAGTATTAAAGAACAATCAAATTATTGATATATCAGAGCCCGATTTAGTTGATAATTTACTACTTTGTATTGGTGCAGGTATAAAAAAAGTAAGTAAATTTATTCTTATATTAATTGATAAAAAATTAGCTATTAAATTTACATTATTATACATTTTTACATAATATTAACAAAATAATCTAAAAATATTTCATTGAATCATTTACAAGATTTTCACAATAATTAATTATTACTATGTTATTTTCATTTATGAATTAATTTTTTTATAGTATGGTACTAAAGAAGCTTATGATACTGTAAAAGAATCAAATATTATCCATTCTCCAGAGCACAATTGGTAAAACATACTTTCATAAATAACTGACTATAGTATTTTTAATTAAATATATTTTCTAGGTCTTTGGAGTATGGCAATAATTCTAAACAAAATTCACCAAACTTAAACAATAGGTTTGCAATGAATATGTATTAATTTATAATTAATAAAATTAAGAGTAATATTTATTTGATGATATCATTAATTATTATTTAAAACCTCGTCAATTAAATATATATTAGAAAAATATTAAATCATAATATTCTAACTTGAAGGAGAAATGGGTTTTATTTTTCTATAACTTCTCATTAGTCATAAAAATTAAAACATCAAACGAAATATTGAATAGTAACTCAAACTCTTCAATATTTTATTTGTATAATTTTAAAAATTTTCATTAGTGTATTCAGATAGTTTTTTTTTTTAATTTAACAGTTAATACTTAAAATAAATAATTTGATTGCATAAAAAATATTTGAAAATCCCCATCACAGGATATTTCTAATGTAATAGCTTGTTTAAAAAATATAAATTTTCTATAAAATGTCTAGTGTTTTAATTCATAATTAAAAAATCTTCATAATTTCAAATAATTAATTGGTAATCTTAAAATTGTCTATGTAGCTCATTATAATTACAATTATTTGTTATAATTTGTAAACTGTCATATTTTATTTATATATTTTCTTAGCATTTCTAAAAAAAAAACATTATTTAGGGTAAATCAAGTCAACAAACAACAGTTACAACTCGTCAGCAACCAACACCCATCAACATCAAAATCATCTTTAAATAATCAAATGTCATTGTGTTCAAAAATAGTTAAAACAAATATTGTTTCACAAAAAGTAGCACAGTCTCCCAAGCATAATGATATTAAAGTAAATTCTTTGGGTAACAGCCAGTTTCAAACATCAAAAACTTTTGTATCAACAATTCCTCAAGCTCCAATTGTTTCTAAACAAGTTACTACTACCACTACTACAACTACTCAATCATCTCCATCAAAACTAACTGTTCCTACAACTGGCACTGTACAACTTCCAAACAAAGGAACCGTTGGACAACAATCGAGTATAGATAAATCTAAACAAATTGTATTGAGTCAATCTATTACATCAAATTTAAACAAATGTAGTAAATGTGAGGCTATATCTGATGATGATTTATGTACTACTTGTCGCGTATCTTCTCATTTGAAAGGAGTAACTGTGACCAGAATTGAAACTCCAGGTAATCATAATTTGATTATTATGTTTAGCTAGCCTATGTATTAATGTTTTATTTAATCAATGAATAATTATAAATATTATGTTTTGCATTGTATAATTATTTTTATGTTTCATAAATGAGTTGTTAAATTGCTAAAGGATGCATTTCCGAACATTTATTTTGTAATTTTGCTTTTTCCTACCTAGTTATAAGCTAATTCTTCAAGAAAAAGCAAAAATAAATATTTTGAATGTACTTTCTTTTGTTAACTAAATGACTTGTTTATTGTAATGTTTTATTTATAGCAACACCTGTTTCAACTAATGATAGTTCAGTTATATTATTATCATCTGAAGATGAAGAAGAGGACTTAAACGAAAGTGAAGAAATTTCATTCTCAATGGAACCAGTCATTAATAAAGTGGAGTCAGTTGATGTCATAAATGAATACATTTCAAAAATAAGTTGTATGTATTTTTAATAATATGAGCTTAATATTGCATCATGAATTATAATATTTTTTGTGTTTTTATTTTAAGTAAATCCAATGCATTTGGAAGATAAATTATCACAAACTGAATATAATATCAAAGATGTTTTTAAGTTTGAAAATTGCCGTTCTATTCGTATTGGAAACTTCAAAACCACTCCACACCATGTAGGTGAAGTCATTATTTGTTTACATGGTATAAGGATGGCAATTAATGATTCAGGTAAATATAAATAAATAAATAATTTTCAATTTAGTAAAAAAAAAATTATTTAATTTAACATTGTATGTGATAAGAATATAATTTAAAATAATTATAATTTTTAATAACTATTGTAATTTTTGTTTCAATATTCCTAAAAAAAATGTAGAAGCAATATTGATGTTGCTTTTTGTGTTTATCTCAAAGGTCAAAATTATCCTGAAATAATTTCAAGTTATTAAATTATAGACAAAATATGAGGCGTAATAGATCTCAGTACCAACATTTTTTTTTTTTTTCAAAATCAATATAAAACATGACATTTTCTTATAAGAAGCCATTGGTAGTTACATTTTTGGATATTCGTTTTACAATTTATAAAAAGTTATAGAAGTTGACTTTCTTCACAGTATTGACAAATTTCACCTAAATACACCAGTATTAGCATGGATATACAGATTAATTTTATATAATAAAAAATTTTTTTTTTTAATTTTCGGTACCTTGATCACTTGGCCCTGCCACAATTCATATACTAGTTTTTTTTTTAAGCTAATTGCTTAGCTGTCGTAGCTTTAACTTAATAATTAGTATATAGGGTGTTTAGTAAGTATGGAAATTAGTGTCTATTATTCTCTGTAGTGAAACCAGTTATGGTGTATGATTCAGAGTGTTTGGCGATTGACAAGAAAGTAGAGCAGAGAATGAGTATAGCATAGATGAGAATGCTTAGATGGATATGTGGAGTGACTAGAGAAAATAGGATGAGGAACGAACATATAAGGTGGGTGTATAGATGTAGTGTCAGACGAGGATATAATGAGAAAAAATAGACTTGGATGGTTTGATCGTGTTATAAGGAGAGAATGTAAGAATAGTTATAGAAATGAAGGAATAAGAAGTAGTTGTTGACCAAAATAGAAATGCAGGGATGTTATTGAATATAATATAAGGGTGGCTAATGTGTGTGTAGATATAGTGGAAGATCATTTCAAGTAGAAGTTTAGGATAAGGGTAACCAAACCCAAATAGTATAGATTAAGGCAAAGAAAAAGAAGTTTGAGGTTTTATTTTAATAGTAAATGTCATAGCATATGTTTTAACATAACTTTATTTAATATAAAGTATCAAATTTTTGAGATAATATACATTTATAATATATTAGGGATTACAAATACAGGTAGCTAATTGTTTTTTCTGATGTTGCTATTTGTAGTTACGCAGCCTTTATTGTCAGTTATGGCTATCAACAAATATATTTTCTGTATTGTCAGTAGGTGTATTTATAAATATTATCTCACAACAATGTGAGATATCTACATCCACACTTTAAGCATATCTGTTGATAATTTTATAACATTATTTAAAAAAATATATTATTAGAGTACTAATTATTTTCTGAATTAATGTAAGATTAACTATTACTGACAATAGATTATTTTTATTACATTGAATTTTTCTAATTTTTTAGATTTCCGTCCAGTGACAATAGATTTGCAAATGGAAAATATTGTTAAAATATTGGCATTTTATGGTGAAAAAATGCCAACAATTATAATATACACAACATATTTAGCATCTACTGGTATTAGACATCTATTAGCTATGAGTGATAATGACAAAAGTTATTATTATGATCCTACCAGCAAAGGTCAGTACAACATAAATTTTTAATAATGATTTTTCTGATTAACTTTTTCATATTTATAAATAGATAACACAATAAAAAAAATCATATGGACTTTTGGATTAAAAAAAAATGAAGGAATTCATCTAGAAAAATTATTACAAAAATTACCTAAAGGAAAATATGAGCCAATGACAATGGATCAAGCTAATGAGTTACTTGTAGCATCTTGTGTACAACGTGATGTATGTAATTTATATAATAAAGTTAACTTTTTTTGTAGTATTTTAATCTTTAATTTCCTTTTAGAATAAAAAATATAAAAAAAAAATAGAAAAAATTAGGAACACAGACTACAATAATACTGAGTGAGTTATTTTAATTATATAAATATGTAGCAATTATAAATATTTACGTATTTAATAATAGCATAAATCAATAACTTAATTTTCTTAAAGTACTATAATTTGATTAAATTTTGTTTTGATATCTCAATGTTATATTGAAAATAAATTATAATATTTGCTAATTTTATTATAAATAAAATATGTATATTCATTCCTTTCTTTCTCCAACATTACATGTTAGAAAATTGTGTAAAATAATTTGACCTTATAGATGTTATTTTACTATAATAATAAAACACAAGTATCAATCCATAATTTTTTTAATTATAGATTTATCTAACCTATCTTATTATAGTTTCAATCTAAAATTACAAATATTCTTTACTAAATGTTTTTTAAAATAATTTTATTTTTATTACAGGATTATAAACTTTAATGTTGATAATAATAATTGTAGAGTTAGCATCTTTGATTATACTGGTTTAAGTGTTGATGAGTATCTAAATGATGCATTGGTTGATTTTTATCTAAAGTAAATCATTAATCTTTAATTACTTTTAGTAACTAAATTATTTATGTTTATAATAAATATTTTGATCTTTATTTCATTAGATATTGGTTTACAAGACATGTATCTGAAGAAGACAAAAAGCGATCTTATCTTTTTAGTACATTTTTTTATACAAGACTAACTACACCCAAAGGTGGAATAGATAAAGCTGAATCAAAGGCACAATGTCGCCATGAACGTGTAAAGAAATGGACCAAAAATGTCAATATATTTGAAAAAGATTTTATTTTTGTTCCCATAAATGAAAAGTAATCATATTTTATTTTGTAATATAATAAAAAAAACAAGGGAAAAGTAGTTTTATGATGTTTTTTTTTTTTATGTTTTATATTTTGGGTATCAACATCACTCATTAGTTTGTATTCAATGATAATGTTTTAAATATTTACAATGATATTTCCTTAATGTTTTAAAATACTTAAATTAAGTTGAAGTCTGTATACATTTTATTATTTTTTGTGTGCTTTGTAAGTTCACTGCGAATGCCTTTTTTTATGTTAGTTGAGATTTATACTTGAGGTGTTTTTGTTTGTACTACTTGCATTCTTGATTATGTGTTTAACTGTAAGAGGATTAAGCAGGCTTTGTAGTTCAGTTTTCCTTCTTCAGTTATTTTATTTTTATGATTCTATTGTGTTTTTCTATAACTTTCTTTATATTGTTTCAAGTTTTATTCTTTTAAATTAAAAAAATCATTGTTAATTACTATTGAAATTACTATTATGATTAAATGTTGTAAGTTAAACTAAAAAAAAATGTTAATAAAACAATTTTGCATTGTTAATTTTATTAAAAAATATTGTGGATAATATTTAAAAGCTTATGGAAATAAAAAAATGCATATATTTTCAAAAAGATAAAAAAATTATTATGGGCATTTCTTAGATTATATTCAGATTCTACAAATTCTAAATAGATATTTTTTAATCTTTTTTAAAATTTTATATTCATAACAATTTTTATGCATAGAAAATAACAAATTTTTCTATTTTTATAGTTATCACTGGTATTTGGCAGTAATATGCTATCCATATCTCACTGGCCCAATTAATATGGAAGATGGAACACCTATTGACATTCCAGATGATGAAATTGATCAATTTGGTAAATAAACTAGTTTTAGGTTTTTACTAACTATTCATTAAGTTCATTTAAAACTATGTAGATTATTTATAACTATGAAATAACTTATTTCTACCAAATGTATTAACATTTTTTATATATTTTTTTATTCATATAAGTGAAAAAAAAATATAAGTATTTTTTATTATTTAATTTTTAATCGGTTTAGTTCAACAGTTTATGCAAGTTTACCTTAACTTAAACTTGTTTATAAATTTTCAATCCAATAATATCAATTATTTACTAAACATTAACTAATTATTCAACAAAATTTAGTATGAAATTATTACATATACTTCTATCCTATTCTTAATAACATAATTATCATTTAAGATGGTAAAATATACACAAACGAATTATAATTTTTACAAAATTTAAAATCCTCTCATAATTAACTACAAATTATTAATAAGAAAATTTTGATACTATTATTCTATAAAATGGCTGTTTAATATTGTCTTTCAACATTTTATATAAATTTCCAATTACTATTTTTTTGTTACATAAATTAAAAATTTTAATTATTATGTAAAAATTGTAGACTAAAAATTTATCATATATAATAATATGAACAAGATAAAAAGTTATTGGATTTGTTATATCTTTGTGACTCAGTATCATAAATTCATAAAATAAATTGTTTTATTTAACCGCATAAAAGTTTTTAATACAAGTTAATAAGCTTGTTTTGTTTTGAATTTAATTAGATAAATATAGAATTACTAAAAGTCAATTTTAATATTTACAATGTTGAAGCAAATTATGATTATATGTCATTATTAACCAAGAGTTTTTTATCGGTTCAGTTCAGTTTAAAGTTTTGCTTTTATATCATTTTTATTTCCAAAAATGTCACCTACTTTTTTTGAGTGTTAATACATCAATATTAATATATTTATTTCAAAGAAATTATAAAATAAAATTTGTAGTATATATTTTAAGTTCAATTATTCTTCTTACAGCTAAAATTTTAGATGAAATTCAATTATAAAATTATATTGATATATATATGGTGATTAATTAACTTTTTCCTCAACTATATTGACTAACTATGTCTCACGAGGCATAGTTAGTCAATCACTCTGTATATGTGTATATATATATATATATATATAATGTAATTATTTTAATGCTAGCTTAATTTATCATAAAATAATAAGTTTTTTTAATATTTTTTTTTTGATATTATTACATATGTATTTTTATTTTTTAGCTATAAAATAAATTTTAGGTCCATCTATTATATCTTATATGGGTGTCAACTTATTTTTTCAAACTCCAACATACATATTAATTTAGCTTATAATATATTAATTAAGAAAATGATTGATCAATAACAATTCTTGGATTAGTACTTCAGAAGATATTTTAATTTTTGTACCTAGGCAGCAGAAGAAATATTGCTGAGAAAGAACTAATGATAAAAATAAATATGATCGACACTTTTCCTCCATTCTATATATTAAAATCTAATAGCATACAGAGTATTAGTCTAAAAGATATTATCAATCAGTCATTTTCTTAATTACACCATTTCCTATTATGTAAGCTAGTTTATTATGTATTTTCCCATTAAAAAAATATAATTGATTACCTTATAAGATATAAAGGATGGAAATTAAAATAAAAATTATTTTATAACAAATATATAGATAATAAATTACAATAATAGTTTCATAAATCTAATTATTTTAAGAAAAATTTAGTGACTACTGTTAAAAGGATCACTCTGTAAATTTGTATTTTTATATATTTTATTGATGTTAGTTCTATAAATTTTGTTTAGTAGCAATTAAAGTTCCATATTTTATTGAAAATATAAAAACAAATAAAAAAGTTATTTTTCCTAATTTATAATAATACCATAATCTTTATTACTTCAAATTTAGGGTATAATAATAATATAAAAATGTACAATATTTATTTTTAGTGATATTGGTTTATAAATTAATACTAATAAAAAAGCCTAGAAATTATATGCATTTATAAATTTTGTTAAGTTATTTTTAACACACTTTTAGCCAGTACAAATTTTTATTTCTTTTTATATTAATAATTAATTGAAAATTTATATTAAATGTGTTGTTACTGAGGTTATAGTTTAGGAAGTATTAGGGGATTAACTTCCCTAGATCAAAAAATATTTTTACCCTACTATACAATGTTAATATAAAGTTGGACACACTTTTGATGTTACAAAGTGGCTTAAACAAAATGAAAAAATGCATATAATTTTTAGCCCAACTAATAGAATAAATGTCTAATTTTTTATTTTTAGAACCAATTGACCGTCCACTTTCACCTTGCATGGAAAATACAGATAGAGATGAAGTGGATGGAAATTCAGAAGATCTTAAATATTTTAATGTAAGAATTTTATTTTTAAGACATTAAATAGAATTTATATTAATTTTATTTATTCTTTAATATTTAAAAATAATTATTTTATAGCATTTCTTTTGCAAAAAAAATTTGATGAGTCAATATTAACTTTATAATAAATACTAATTGAGTTACAAACATTTTAATACATAGATCATATATGTAGCATGGCTTGGGAATGCATTATAAATATACACCAGTACTATCTGTACCCATCCGTGCTACATACCTATTCTATTTATAAAATGCTTGTTAAAGTTATTAAAAATGTCAAAATCTGGAAGGACACCTGTATATTATTTACTGTTTTTTTAAATATTCACAGATAAAAATCTCCAATACTAATATAATATCAGTATTTATTGTCATTGGTATTTTATTATTTTGTTTAGATTGACTATGACTGTATTAGTGATAATAGGAATAGTTCTTCTTATGAAGAGGATGTTGAAGAGTTAAAAAAAATGGATCGGCCTTTGATTAAACAGTATGCACAGTTTTTTGATTATTATTATACATTGTATTTAAGAAATAAATATATCAATTACTACAAAACATTGATAGCAATAGAAACTATTTTTCTTACTAATTAAACACCTTGTATACTATTCAAGTATATAATTAAAAATAATTTTTTTAAAGTTATTTAATTATAAAAATATCTGTATATTTACTAAAAAAAAATAAAATTTTGTAAATAATAAACCAATGACTTAGATTATGAAGATATTAAGGAAATTTTAATTAAATCAGGTTTTTATACTTATTAGAATAAAGATAGAAATAATTAATTTTTTATAAATTATTAGTCTATATTTTTTGTATTAAGACCAAGTAATAACTTATGGTTCAGTACACATTTTGAACAAAATCTATAAATGAAAAAATTTATCTAGTTAACATATTTTTATTATACATTTAAAAAATATTATTTTGGAAACATTAACATGAACATATTCACATATAAATCAAATTCATTAACAAAAACAATTTTTTAACAAATATCTTTTTGTCCATAATTTTTAACCTTAAAATACAATAAGGATTTATATGAATTACAGTATTTTACTCTATGTGTTAGTAATACAATTATATTGTATAATATAAATTTTCATTACAGGCCTTGCATTTTAATTTTTGACTCTCTGTATGGTGGTACACACCGAGCTAAAATTGTTGCTACGCTGCGTGAATATTTAGCAGAAGAGTACCAAGCAAAACATAATGGTGCTCGTAGAGTATTTCCAAAGTCTATATTGAAAGGTGCTGCTGTTAAAGTTCCTCAACAAACAAATTATTTTGATTGCGGGCTTTTTGTATTACATTTCTTTGAGAAATTTTTTGAAGTACGTTTTTTATAACTACTAAAAAAATTAATTTTGATTGATCATAACTGGTTGAACTTTTTCAGTGTCCCATTGTAGATTTTAGTTTTCCAATTTTACATCTTCAAAATTGGTTCTCTTGTGATGATGTAACAGGCAATGCTAAAAAAAGAAAAGATTTCCAGAAAATAGTGCTTAATATAATGAATGAACAAGGACGTAAAGTTGATCTACCAACTTTGAAATTTGTTTCATCTAGTAATTCTAATACTATTGCGCACCACCGTGGTATCCATCAATATAATCATTATTATGAAGAAATGGATTATGAAGAAATGGACAGTGGTGAAGAAGATTCTGATATTGAAGGTGAAGATGATGAAATTTATGAAGAAGAATCTGATGAATACATGGAGTCCAATCTATACCATGATTATGCTGAAGATGGTGAGGAAGAAGACTATCATGATTATAAAGGTACTGATCCTAGAGAATTTTATGCAGAAATGGAAGAGAATGATGAATCATTTACTGAAAATGATCAGTGGTCTGAAGTTCAAACAGAAGGAGAAGAATTCCACAATGAGTAGGTTCATTTTAATAAAATGTATTTTCTTATTTAATTATTTATTATAAATAAGTATATAAATTTGATTTTAAACATATAGTTGAATAATTTATCTAAATCAAATATGTGAACTAAAATTTATCGGATTTTTGATATTTTAAATAAAAATCAATTTACATAGAGAATTTTGTTAGTGCTAATAATGTAACCATTACTAATGTAAGACAAATAGCCTAACTATTTATAATTTGTAAAATATTATGATTGGTATATATGTACAGATTTGTGATACTAAAAGTTATTAGTTTCGAAGGAAATGGAAATTTATAAAAAATTTTAATATAACTGATGGCTTTTTGAATATATTATTATTATATAATTAAGTTATTTATTGGTTAAATTGATTTTAGTTATTGTATACAAAGCTCAGTCTATAAATACAATGTTCTCTTATGGTCTTTAAAAATCGAACATAGTAAACAATAACCTAATATAAATTAGTGCAATTAATGTATAAATTTTTCTCATTTTGTAGTATTAATTTTTTTTAATTTATTATATTTTAGACGAGAATATAATAGGGAAGAATTATCAGATTATCAAGTTATTCCTGAAAGGAATATTATAGTTGATGAAGATGAATCTGATGATAGTTCAAGTAATCATAGAAATATTAGTCAGCAGAATAGAGTACGTTCTGAAAATGATAACTTTAGAACCTACCAAGAATCTGAAAATGAACATGAAAATTTATCACCAAGACAAATTCAAAAGTCTCAACGTTTTAATAAAAAAAATTCTAATTAGCATTGCATGTTCTATTTTAAAGTAACGAAAACAAAAAATTATTGTTTCTTTTTATTATTACATGTTCATTTTTTACAAAATAAAAGCAATTTGCTTTCAAATAATGTACATTTAAAGAATTTTGAAGTAAGAACTAAACTAAACAACCAATGATATAAATAAAATAAAAAAAATTTTTTAATTATATTGCCATAACCTAAAAATGATTAATACATTTATTTTTTACTGATAATTTTATATTTTTACTTCGACCGCATTGTTATGACACTTATGTATTATATGTATATAATTGAATGTGTTTTAAGAGTTTATATTCAATATAACTTATTGTTACTACACAAATATTATCATGTATGTAATGGATTATAAATTTTCTTTGCTTATTTCAAATATTTTGTTTAGTTATTACAATTTAATAGAGAAGTAAGATAAAATATTGGTATACGTTAAAACTAGTATCTAAACTAAAACTTATTTTAAATTAAGTAAAATAGAAAATTTATCTTTTCAATGGCCACTACTTAAATTTTAGTATAGTCTTTTTTAATTTAAGTGCTTGATTTGCCATTGCAAATTTATAAGTACCTCCATTCTTAAACACTCAGAAAATGAACTCTATATTTACCCATTACCCTTTATAATAATATTATTTATTATAAAGAGATTCAAATATAAGCAAATTATTCTTTGATATTAGAAATATTCCTATTACTAAGTCAATTTTTACACTCTGTTAGCAGACATGAATTATCAAAAATGTATTCATGTTCTTTGATTTAAAAAAAAATATTATTTAGTGGAATGTAAAATCAACTGAACTTGCAAATTTAAGTTAATTTATGTACAACATTGCATTCATACGTTATATTTTTTAGGCATTATAGTAATGTAATTAATCACTAAAGCAACTATGAAAGTCTAATCACACGAAAATTAAAAATATTTTGAGGACATATGTTATGAAAAGTTTAAAAACCTGTTACACTTCGTAAAAATAAAAAGAAACTGCAAATTTATACTCAATAAACATAGTTTAATAAAATTTAATGGCTGGTACTCTCCAAAAGTATAATAAAATGGTAAACTATGCATACAACTTAAATTATAATCAACATTATGAGCAAGTATAAAAAATATAAAAAACTAATTGATCTTAAATAAATAAATATATTTCTTCACTTCTTGTGATATCTGTATTTCAAATATCACAATCCACGTTATTGTATTATTGTAAAATTAATTGAAAAAAAAAAACATTTTGAATTTTTTTTTTTGTTAATTTTATACTAGAGCTATAAAAATAAGCATTTCCAAAAAAAGAAATATATGAAATAGTCAATAATATTTTATAATAATGTGACAGTAATTAAAAATATTGCCGTTAAACAATTCTATACAAATTTGAAAAAAATCATAGAATCAATAAAAATTAAATGTTTTCCAACTTAAAGGTCATGACCTCTAAAGTTGAAAATCATGTAATCGCAATTACTCATAAAATAAAAATAAATAAAGCATTATTTTTATTTATATCCTAAAAATTACATAAAAAAAAACTTTAATTTGATTTAGTTGTAAAGAAATCTTTAAGAACAATATCAAAAATTAAAAAAAAAGTTATATTAGTTATTTTAAGGCATACCTTTTCTTTAGATAATGATTGGTCATTCATAAAAAGTATATCATCGGCCAGGTAAATGTATTATCAATAATAATTTTATAATGATCCATCCAGTTTTCAAAAATTTATTTAAATTTTTAATGAAAATTAAAAATATTTAATTAGACTTTTTTTATAACAAATGTAATTTATTGAGATATTTTCCTTTACTAAGTGGGTTGAGTGATAGTTTTAAAATTTTTAAATTATAACATTAATAGCTCCAATTAGAAATGATTTGCAAGGTTTGAAACACGATTATTGGTAGAATCATAGATATATTAACAGGCTGATCGGTTTATCATAAATCCTCGATTACTCAAAGTATAAATACCATATGGGAAAAATAATTTTTGATTTCTTTTAGTTAAATTTTTTATTTATAAACTAATAATTATTTTTTAGAAATCATCTCTTATATTTTAAAGGGATATTAAATTTATTTTTTTTAAAGATAACATACATATTTAACTAGCTCATAAAATAAGAAATAATCTAATTTAGAAAATGACTGGTCGTTAAAAATTTTTCAACAAGTACTTTTGATGTTATTCTCATTTTTATACGTAGATAGATTTATCTATTCACTGTTAAATTAAGCATATTACAATAAGTACTTATTAAATACTTTTATCAATTGTTTTTCCAAATTTTAAAATATATTTTGTAAGTTTACAATGAAATATTACAAGACCACGTAACAATTAGTTAATTATAATCTTAAATTCTCAGCAGAACCATTACATAAAAGTAGTGAACTATAGCGACAGGAATTAATATACAATTCTACATTTTTAAAATAAAAATAATTACTTACGCAAATAAGAGTATTTTATTAGTTGGTCAGAATGATATCATAGATATAAACAATTATTTATTAAACAGATAATTAATGTGTGTAAGGTGGAAATAAAATCTATGGTGGTGTGTTAAATTTCTCGTTCATACAGCATTTATTGAGGCAAACATGTTTTTTATTAAATAAACCAGACTCTCACTGGCGTTATGTTATATAACCGAAATAATATTACCAAATATTTGTATTGCTATACTTTAATTTTTAAAATGCAATTGTAATATATTTCAATTAACAGTTTTGTTTGAATTTGATATATAAACATTATCACAACAACTGCAGGGGTAGCGGGTGCAATGTCCCGACTGAATGGCCTCTTTATAATATTGGGACTCCTTCAGTTACTACTTTCAAGAACTTTGATTTTAATGTATAGATAATTTGTTAAAATAATTGGATGATGATTTTTTTGCTTATCGTATTAAATAATATCATATAAAATAATAATTAATGTCGTTTACATATGTAATAATTTGATGATACAATGGTAATGACAAATTACCAATTGCTGAAAAAATGTTAGAATAAGTTTTTTCTTCCTATAGTTGATATTGTATTAGGTCAATTTAAAATTTGTTTATCTAGAATAAAAAAGTTATATAACCGTTTTGACTCCCAAAACCCGAATTGATTTAGCCTAAATCAATTGTTGAATCAGAAAAAATATATATTGTTAATAAATCATATAATTTTGTTCTTCTGTATAAATTATACATTGACAGTGATTTTACTAGTTGATTCATTTATTTATAAAAGTTATAAAAATATATTTTATAAATTAGCAATATTTATAATTATAGACGCAAATAGTAAAACAATTTTGGAGTTATATGCTATATGGAGCTATATGTAATTTCACCCTATTTAAAAATATTTTTTATATAATCATTAATGTAATTTTTTAAATTTTGAGGATACAAAGCACCCTTATTACACCTAGGATTTGTGCCAACATTCATAATACAAAATGATTTTATTACTAGTTATTCTAAAGTATTAGGAGCTTACATTCTATTTTTAGTGTTATCAGAGGCATTAGCTACAGCTAAAATATATTTTTCAAAACTGAAATTAATTAAAAATTATCTAAGAAATTCTATTGTTCAAGTAGTGTAATATGTCTACATAAGGGACTACCTGTGGTAACTACCCTAGGTCGTTGTTACAATTTTGGGCCACATTGACCGATGATAGATTCCAAAAAATGTTTGCCAAAGTTGAAATAAAACCAGGTAAATATATTTGGAATGTTATTTATTTTTTCAACTTAATTAACATTGGTATATGAGATCAGTAAATCTATTCTTAAAAAAATGATAAATTTCCGATCACGTTCGGATAAACTAATTTATCACAAAATATAAGTCATGGTGTATTATAAAAAATAGTAAAGTTTAACAAATGAAAATCATTTGTTATTTTGTTTATTGAGTAAAACATAACGATAAAAATGAATCGAATATTATTTGTTTTATCATAAGTAAGATTTTTACTAACCGATCATAAAATATATAATATTTATGTTTTTAAAATAAAAATATAACATTAATAAATAAAATTCAAAACTTAGTTTTAGAAAATCATCGCCTAGATTTTTTTTTTTTAATGTCAAACATTTACTAATAAAATTTTAATTAATAACATTTAATAATACGATGTGTCAAACCGGCTGTTTGGCTTAGGGTCATTGTTACCACTTGGCTCGGAGATACCCCTCTCACCGTGCTTAACTCATATGCTAATATAGATAATATGTTAAAAGCGAGGTAAATGTGAGTAATGATAATGTTTTGGTTCTTTTTTTCTTGACGTGTTTTACTTTTTAATATGTTTTTTAAGTTCTTTTTTTTTAAACCACCTTAAAGCACAGAATTAATTTTTTCAATTCAATGAAATGATAATACAATTTTTATGATTTTATTTATAAATATGTCTGTTAGACACTGTAACTGATTATAAAATTATGTAAAAAATTTTCCTGGACTAGCTTTAGAAAATAAACGAGAAAGACTTAATATTATTAAAACAAATTGAAATTTTACATTTAATTTATAAACAGAGTAAAGAAAATGTCAAATCAATAATAAAAACATACCAAAATAATTTTTTTTATATAAATACTTTAGGAATTTCCCTTTCATTTGATATATATTTTTTAAATTTGACCCTTTACTTAACCGTACGGGAATTCAAAATAGCAACTTTTTCAACTTAACTTTTGAAAATGTTTCGGAAGTACTGCATTCTTTAAATATGTGTTAAATTAAAGCTTATGTTACGTACTATAAATAAAAAAATTTTAGCACAGTGGGGTCGTGGCATAGTTGACATAAGTAAAGATAATATCGGACTGTGATTAAAATCACCATCATAAAATACGCTTCGATGCAAATCTGTATACAGTGTTTAATTTTAAGAAATTGGTGGATTATTCCAAAAGCAAAGATGGTAATATCTTTAACTAGACACACTAGTTGTGATCATTTGACGTATTGTTTAAAAAATTGATCAAATGAGAGTTGAGAAAAATTAATGACAAACACAATAAAAAACCATATATTAAAATATTTTTATATGAATTAAGACGGTGAAAGAGAGAATGGTGTGGGATGTTAAGAGAGACATAAGTGATGCGTGGAATAGATTTGCTAGTTGTGTAAAGAATACTGCAAAGGAGATTGTTGGTGAGAGTAGAAGTAGAATGCCAGGAAACAAGGAAACCTGGTTGTGAGATGAAAAAATAGTTTAAAGTATGGCAAAAAAGCAAAATGAGAGAAGAATGGAGTACAAACGCTTGTGTAAAGAAGCCAAGTATGCGATAATCAAGGAGATGTTTTAGAGGTATGATGGGTTAGGAACAAAGGAAGGTGATAAAGAAGTCTATAGACTTGTAAAAATAAAAAATCTTGTCTAAATATTATCACAATGTAAGGTGTATCAAAAAGGATGACAAGAGAGTGCTAACAGCGATGATGTGAAAAAAAGGTTGAAAGAGTATTTTGAAAAATTAATTAAGGAGAAATCACTCATTCTCTCAAAAACTTTTTTTATTTGTGTATTGATGATATGATAGAAAAAATTGTGTTCCTGTATTTTTTTTCATCTCATTTACTGTTTGTGTTTTAAAATTTGGATTTAAAATACAAATTCACCATTAATTGGTTTTCGTACAACCGGAGTTGTAAATGTGCCATAAATTATTTTTATAGTAATTATCAAATAAATTTCCCACGTCGGTCATTGAACAATGTATGATATTAAATATGCATTGAATATAATAGTATGCGTCTATTAATAGGCATGAATTATTTTTGATAAATGATGACACTAAATAAATAGCTAATTATCTATGAAAATTAAAGTTTTTTATTCCTGAAAGGATGAAAAAAAATTATATAACTACATATTATTGAAGAGGTTTTTGAACCAATCAATATTTTCTTTAAAAAAACTTTTATTAACTATTAATTTTTTTTTTCTTTAATAAATATGTTAACATATGAAATAAATGTTTTTAATCTAATATTTTTAAGTTTTAGAATAAGGATTTATATAAATTATACAGTGGTATAAAAAAAAAACAACTTTTTTGAACGAAGCGACGAAAAAAACATTAAAAGGCTCTAATTCAATCACATCTTAGTATACTCAAAATCGGCGTTGTCTAAAACAATGAGTTAATGACAGTATTAAAAGGTATTTCATTTGTTTTAAATGTTATCACTAATTGTTTTTTATTTAAACATTTAATGATATAAGTTTTTACTTAAGTATTTCTTTTTATTTAAATAACACTACAATTGTACCTAGACCAGGAAGTGGAATATATAGGTTTAAATCTATTTATAAAAGTTGAAAATATGATAAAGGTTTTTTTATTTACATAAAGAAAAAAACTCTACATATCATCACCTCAAATAAAAATGTTCTAATATAATTAAGAAAAAAGAATGTAACTAAATAATTTTGATTTAATTTTTTTTTCATATTTTTTTTCAATATACACATATTGAATGAAAATTAGAATAAAAAATAATTCGGTTCAGCTTAACAAAAATTAAAACAAATTTTTTTGATACTTAAGTTACTTAAGTCAATTACTAAATTGAATTTAGATTTTTTTCTAAAAATGGGATTGTAATGTCCTTAGCGATGAAAAACTACTTTGAATGGTAGTACCATAATCTTAGTTGGTTTTATGAATCGTTTAAGGTCGACTTTTTATAAATTATTCTCCGAAAAAATAAATTAGTACAATCATAATATAACGAAGACTTTCTTGACATTTTTTATTTGTCAATTATGTTTGTAAACGTATTAATTAAAATTGATATCGAGTTAATTTTTAGCTTCAGTTTACAATTGTAGCTGGAATTTAAAGACCAGTCATCAGTGATGCTGCAAACGGTGGTAATGGGAAGTTGACCCAGTCAATATACTTGATAATAAAGTATTATTACCCCCTCTATTAAATTTGACAAAAAAATGATGGCCCATAAAAATATTTTTAGCTGAAAGATTTTGGTTAACTTTTAAAATTTACTTAAATAATTGTATTAAAAAAAAATCTTGTAATTATTCCATAGTATTATGTTTATTGTTATTATATTATCAATTCTAACCTAGTAAATTTTATTAACCAAAGATTAAATTTGTTTTTTATTCAGTATTTCTACTACATAGTTTTAAATTAGGATTTTTATTTTAATAAAAGTTATTCTGCTTAAAGAGTTTGATTTTGAATGTTCCATAAATTGAATTAGATAGTTTTCAAGGTTAATGAAAAGGTAAAGTTAATAAACTACCTAATTTTTTATAATGACTAAAAATCACTGAATAAAAATAACTTTACCAGTTTTTTTAACTTAGTAAAATCAAGGGGACCGATAAAATAGTTGTTTTCTATATCAATGATATAACATGATTTGCGAGCAATGTGAGCATTTCAAATAAACAATAAAGATTAAAACATTTTTTAATGTCAATATTTAAATGTTTATTTAAACTATTTAATCACTAGTGTTTTATTCATCTATATTTAATAAAAAATTAAAAGGCGTGAATAGTTTCAAATTTTTGAGGGGTTCATTTAAATGTTTCCTCTTCTTGAAAACATTTAGATTTATATTCGTTTGAGTAACTTGCAAGTCTATAAAATTTTTAATGTTATGCATTATTTGGGACACAATAATTGATATGACAAATAGATAACATTGCACAATATTCCTGAAAGTATTCATAATACGTAAACATTCTCGTATTAGATATGTTGTTAAAAGTTACTATCTGTTAAGACCAGTTTCACCTACTCCCTTTAACCAACTAATCCATTTCATGAAAAAGAGGGGAGTTAATACTACGTATCAAAATATCTACAATTTTGAATACTAGTATTAGAATAGTAGTCTTACATTGGTCCACGCTAACGATGCTGCATATTTATTAGTATTGATTGTTATTGTTTAAAATTCTATGGATTTGCATTGCTTTAGGTAACATAATAAGTCATATTCTAGTACGTAAATAATAAAATTTTAATATCCAGAGTATTGGATTATTTGCATACTTTTAATAGAAATTTATTAGTTTTTATAGTTTTAATAACATTGTAATAATGAATGTGTCGTATGTGAACTAATAAAATATGTTAAATTAACACCGTCTCTTATATCAATAATGCTATCACTTCAATAATTTTTTATCAAAGATTGTCATCGATTGTTGTTACTATAAGCTGATAATGCTCTTGTGTTTGTGATCAGCGGTGCTAACAAGAAAAATTGTAGAGGAGTGATTAAATTTACGTTTTTGCCCTTCAGTCTTGTTTACTCTCATAACTTATTCGTCTGTTATCTCTATAAATATATAATGAATTAATTATTATTATTCATATTATTGAATCACTTAGCTATTGTGTTATTTGTGCTCGCTCGATTAATTAGAAAAATCTGATTACATAGATATCGAGTTCAGCGGTCTACGCCGCATTTATAACATTTGCCTTATCTTCGAAACTATTGTTGTCGTTCACTGGAATTTGAAGGTAATGGTCGTCTAATATTTACTATTTATTATTATGCAGTTAACGCGTCTCTATGGCCATATTGTACATTTGTGGTTTGCACTTCATTCGAGTAGCATTCAAAGTATTTGTAATAAATGTACATTATTTTTGCCAATTTCAATTTGATAATTTTGTAAATAATGAGTGTGTTTATATTTTAATTTTAAATGATACCTTATCAATTAATCCTATTAATTATATATGTTTCAGTAGCTTACGGACATCTCTTTTATACTCACCGTAGCAATAGAGCTATGAGTGGCCAGCAAGTGGCCGATGGTGGCGGAGGTGCTGGTAGTACCAGTAGTAGTAGTGCAAGCGGCGATCATAGTCCTGCAGAATGTAAATCTCCATTATCCATTGCAAAACAACATAGCTATGAACAAATAGATCATGCTCATTTTTTAGCGAGCGATATTGGTACTCTATATCTTAATGACAGGTATGATTTATATTATATTCACTATCAGGTAAATAAATAAAACATTTTTATTTTAGTTTCAATGAAAATTATTAGTGTTATTAAATAACACATTATTTATTTTTGGTGCAAATTTAATTGTTGATATTTATCATTTTTAACTTGGATTATTTGAATTTTGAAAACAAAAAGAGTTAACTTTAAATGACTATCTTTACTCGGTGTTATTTAATCTAAAAGCCTTTCAAATTTTGTTTTCTTTCTATTAATCAATTAAAAATTTGGTGATGTTTCTATAAAATGAGTTTTAAAAATGAAAGAATTTAGTTGCGTGCAATAAGCAGGCTATAATGTGCATATAAGGCAATAGATGACTCATTTCATAGATAAGTATTTTTTTATATAGTAGCTCAAATTTTCAGTGAATAACAACAACTATTTCAATACTTAATACTTTTTTGGTAATATTAATTTTTTTACATTTATTTATGTGAACTGCATTTGAAAAATTTAATATTTAGTAGATAAATGATGAACCTTTTAATTTAATATTTTTTGAAAATGTTTTAATTATTATGTTTCAGATTTTCTGATGTGGTTTTACTTGTAAATGGTGAAAGGTTTCATGCTCATAGAGTTGTATTGGCTTCACGAAGTGATTACTTTAGGTATTTAATTTATTCCACTTTATTAGAAGAAATTTTTAATGGATAAAAATGTAAAAACTTAACTGTGTTTTGTTTTATTTTATATTATTTTATTTATAGAGATTTTCCAAAGTCTAGGGGTTATATTATTAAATACTTATATTAAAATAGGTAAAAAAAAAAACAAATGTTAGCTTAGATATTGCAAGTAAGGTTTTTTTATTTTTAAATTATCAAATCAATAGATCCCAGCCCTTGCTTTAATTTTGAAGCATCTAAAGTAATTTCTAAAAACTTACATCAAATGTGATGTTTTTTTTCTTAAAGTCACACTGAAAAGAAAATGAACATTGTATTTCATATTTAAGTAAAGGAGAATATAAATTTCAATTATAACTCTTAATGGGAAAGAATGCATTAAATTAAACAAGCATTTTATAGAAGTATATTTTTCGATTTATCTTGTTTTTAATTTTTTAATTTAAAAGATTATTTATTTTAAAGAGCTCTTTTATATGGTGGCCTCAAAGAATCTCACCAATCAGAAGTAGAAATAAGTGAAGCATCTGTTAACTCATTCAAAAAACTTCTTGAATACATTTATTCGGGTCGAATGAATTTAAGTATATTAAAGGTAATAAATAATATGGAAATATTAATTTATATTTTCAGTACTCTAATGATTATTAATATATATATATATATATACAATACTCATTATGTTTTTTTGTCATAGGACGAAGTGATACTAGAAATATTTAGTCTTTCAAATTTGTTTGGTTTCACAAATCTAGAGCTTTCTCTGTCTAAGTATTTACGTAGCAATATAAATGTACATAATGTTTGCTCTATGTTTGCAGCTGCTCGTCTTTATCAACATAAAGAATTAGTTTTGGAATCACTTATTTTTATTGATAATCATGCTCATGATGTGTTGCAATCTGAAGCTTTTCTTTCACTATCCCCTGTAAGTTTTAATTTAAAAAAAAACTAAAGATTTAACCTTAATTTTTAATATAATGAATTTAGGAAGCTTTACAAGAAATCCTTAATCGTGATTCATTATATGCTTATGAGTTAGATATATTTCGTGCAGTTTGTCGTTGGATTAAAGCAAATCAAGATGATGAATATCCTGAAGCTAAAATTAAAGTTTTATCTGCTGTAAGATACCCATTAATGAGTCTTGATGAACTGCTTTCTGTTGTTAGAGAGTCTCAGCTTGTTAGTTCAGATAATATTTTGGATGCCATTCAATTAAGAAATACTTTACCATCACATAAACTCAAATTTCGAGGACAACTAAGTATTCATAAATAACTTATAATTCAATGTAAATTTTTAAAAGACATCTACCAATTAAAATTATTTATATGTAGAACCAAATTTGAATATTGCTCATCCTTCACAAGGAACTCAAGTAATGCAAGGGGAAATGCGATCTGCTCTTTTAGAGTCAGATACTAACGTACACGATCATGAAAGAGGCTGTACTAGACATTTAATTAATGAAACTGATAGTGGAATTATGATAAAATTGGGCCATCCTTCTATAATTAATTATATTAAAATGCAATTATGGGATAAAGATTTAAGGTATTATAATTACTTTAAATTTAATTAATGTAAAAACTGTTTAGTTATTAAAATGATTATTTCAATTAAGATCATATTCTTACTACATCGAGGTTTCAATGGACCAACATGACTGGGTTCGAGTTATTGATTATTCAAATTATTATTGTCGATCAACTCAAAGGTTGTGGATTCAACCTCGAGTAGTTAGATATATTCGCATTGTTGGTACTAACAACACTGTGAATAAAACTTTTCATGTTGTATCAATGGAAGTTATGTATAATACAGAAGAAATGCAATTAGTAGAAATTGAAAAAGGACTTGTAGGTAAGAAAAATTAAACATTATTTACTATTTAAAATTATGAAAAATATACTAAATTATATTTAAATTTTTAATACAAACTATAGTTTAATGGAAAAATTAAAGCATTTAAAAGTTAAAAATTAATATATAATTTTGAAGTGGTAAAATTTTTAGGATTATCATAGATCAATGTAATGAAAACATTTTTTATAATTGGTCAAATATTTGGCTTTTTGTTTTATAATTTTACATCATAAAAGTTAAAGTTGAAAATTATTAAAATTAAATTTTATTTAAATTAAAAATTTGTTAACTTACATTGTGAGTTTTTATCAACCTTTCATAACTATTGAATATAATTAACGTAATTACTTATAATTAATTATGATGTGTTATGAATGCTGCAAATATTAAAATATAAAATACATTAATAATGATATAATTTAAATATTTCATGAAAAAAATATTAATTTATATGTCTCTTCTTATATATAGTAATTTGTTGATATTTAAAATCCTAGCTCCAAAATATAATGTTGCCACCATGTCGATGAATGCAATTGTCATTGATGGAGTAAGTCGTAGTCGGAATTCACTTTTGGATGGTAATTACAAAGATTATGACTGGGATTGTGGTTATACTTGTCATCAATTAGGATCAGGATGTATATTGGTTCAACTTGGACAACCATATATGCTTAATTCAATTAGGTGATTGTTTTTAATAAATATAATTACATTTAAATTTATATGAAATTGACTCAGAAATAAATTGAAATTTTAAATTTACTAAAATCTTTTAATTAAGTTTACTTAAAACAATAGGTTTATTTATATTTAATCTACAGACGGATTGATTTATTGTTGACCATTAAATTTCTCATTAATACAAAAATTCTTTTATGTTAAATAAAATTTATTTTTCAAATTATAAGTTTTTAAATATATCTTTGATCTATCCCTTATCCCTTTTTATGGAACTGGTTTTATTTTTTTAATTATAACACACATTTTTAATAGATTAAATAATAGAAATAATCTATATATAAAAAAATGATGAGTCAATAATAAATTAAACCAGTATTTAGTAAGTTTTTAAAATGTAGACTGGTGCGAGGTGCAGGTTGAGGGGTTTATCATTATGCATTTTTCTGTTGCACTTTTCTCACCTAGATAAAAAAATATTAGCTTTGATGCTAAGCTGAGGAAGGTATTAATTTTACTATGATGTGTTTTTTTTTTGTGTCTGTTACAACTTTTTCTCAGCTTTCATCAAACTAATTTCTTTCAACAATACGTCAAAAGATCACAAATCGTATCTAGTCAAAGACATTACCCTCAAAAATTGAAAAAATTTCCCTCGTTCCCCGTAAATTGGAAAAATCTTAAAATAGAAAAAAAAAATTACAAATTTACAAATCTCTAATTTTTGACATTTTTTTATTTTTTTTACTTAAAACTGCCATAACTTTTTTAAAAATGATCAAATCGATATAATATTTTTTTATTATAGTTATTTTAATTACTGTCAGATATCATTATACTTGTCCAACTATGCCATATCTCCACTATGCTGGGTTTTTATAACTTTTAGAGTTTAAGTAACCTAAAAAGTATTTAACCACTATACTTTTACAATTATACACTGCTTAAATAAGTAAAATAAATTCTCATTTTTATTATTATTTTAGAAAAAGTCTAGTAGTTAACAATTAATCAATCACTCTTAAGGTATATTTAGTATTCTTTGTGATAATGGAAACGGTATATTACAAATCTAATTTTAAAATAATATTATGAAAATTCAAGAACATAATTTTTATAGACAATTATTATATTAATGCTGAGATTGACAATTTTTCTAGATTCTTTGGAATGAAACAAAGTTGAAAATTAAATTTTAAGCATTAAAAATCAAATCATATATTTTTATACAGGTGCGGCATAACTGTCTCCCTATTCTTAAAGCTTAATAAAACAAATGCTATTTGAAATACAATTCTTTTATTTGAATGTGTTGAAAGCAACAACTAAACAGTTTTATTTCATGTGGTTTTGAAAATAATTTTGAATAAGTGGTGGCCATCATTATTGCGGCACTGTCGCAAGCGATTTCTGAAATTTTGCATCACTTTGGCCAGCATTTCTTGCGGTATTCGCCGAATTTCCAGATGGATGGTGTCCTGCAGTTCTCGTAGGGTCCTTGGATGATGTTGGAAGACTTGAGCTTTAAGATAACTCACAGAAAGAAGTTGCAAGGCGTCAAATCTGGGGAGCGTGTAGGCCATGGAAAATCACCTCTCAGGGAGATCGATCATCTGGGGAAGATTTCCTTCAAGAGTTGCAATGGTGCTCGGGATGTCGCCCCATCCTGTTGAAACTAGGCATTCTGCACATAAAGGTCTGCAAGAGCTGGGACGAAAAAATTCTGAATCATCGCATGTCTGCGTGCAGAACGTGTAGGCGACCGTACCACTGAGCGCCTGACTATCTCGATATTTTCGGGTGTCCGACCTGTCCGTGGACGTTTACCCTCACTCTTAATAACAGATCCAGTTTTTCTAAAGTTTTTTATCCACAAAATAATTGATTTTCGGTCCGGGACTCGTTAATTACGAGGAATTTGAAATCTGATACGGAACGCACATTGCGCAGTGATGATGGACACTTTTTCACGGATGTACACTTCCACGGCGAAAGTCCGCTGTGTGTCAGTTCACATGATGGTTCAGACTAAATCCGTTTCAAGATAAAACTGTTTACCTTGCTGCTTGTACTTATGCTATCCTAACTTTTCTGCGACACCACCGGGCTTTACGAGATTGTATTGAAAATAGGGAGACAACTATGCCGCACTCTGTATTTATTAATATTTGATATTTCTAAAATCTTTTATGGAAATCTCCTTTTTGATATTTAATTTCACTATCAATTTTGTATTTTTCTCTAAGTAATTTATTTTAAAATTTTGAAAATTTAGCGATTAATAGTATAAGGTCTATCTTTATAATTTTACAACTTTTTAAGTAAATTAAGAATAGTGCTTATTTAAAATAAAACCACAGTTGAAAATTGTATAAGTATATTTGTTTATAATTTTTAAATCCTATTGTACCAACTAATTTTTTTCGGATTATGTAAAAGAGTACATTAATTCATTAATTTGTTTGGTTAAATTGAAATCATTATTGTATCAACAACTTATCTCAGTTTTGATATGTTGATGTTTTTAATGAAACATACATAATATTAGTTTCTTTTAAGAAAATTATATTTACTATAACAGCAATCATTAGATTGTGTAAAAGTGATATTTATATTAGTACACTACTAAGGCTTTCATCTTTGTGAGAGATATACAAACTTTTTACTACTACCTCCAAAGTACATTTTTACCAAGTCTTTATTTTTATTGTGAGAAGTTCTATCTCCATATCATTCCCCGTAAGAATGCTTATGATTTATATGTAGATTAGATCTTTACATTTAAATTGATTATACAGCATGACTTTTATCATACCTTAATTACTTGAAGAATAAATACAATTTTGAGATTTTTTTTTTAAATTAATTTTAGGTACATTTTGTTTTCAATTTATAAGTTATATAATACTTTTTAAATGTTAACACTTATTTTGAATTTAATAAAATGTTTGAGTTTTTATTTTAGTAGTAAATAACATTTGAATTTTTAACATAACTTCATTTGTTTATTAGTTATAAAACTTTAAATATTTAAAGATATATTTTTTTTGTATTGTTAGTTGAGAAGTATTTATAAATGTTTACTTACTATATTGTAATACTTTATTTTAAGCATATCTGTTGATGAAGTCATTATTGACAAAAACGCTATGTATCTGTGAATAAAACATTTATATTAACTCAAAAATTTGAAAATTTAAAGTTTTAAATCTAATAAACAAGTAAAGTCATGTTAAATATCTAAACAATATTTACTATTAAAATAAAACCTCAAAAAATGTTATTAAATTAAAAATATATGTTACTTTTTGAAAAGTGATAAATTTGATTATTCTTAAGTATTTTTTGATATTTGTGATATCAATCTTAGATAATTTTTATATTTATTTATAGAAATATTTTTTTTTCAGAATGTTGCTTTGGGATTGTGATGACAGATATTATAGTTATTATATTGAAGTATCTGTAAATATGTGGGACTGGGAATTAATTGTCGATAAGTCTAAAGAATTAGTAAGATCATGGCAAGTGTTGCAATTTAAACCTAGACCAATTGTATTTATTCGAATTACTGGTGTTTATAATTCAGCAAATGAAGTAAACTATAATAAATGGGTTTGTCAACATTTGACTTTATTAATTTGAATGTCTTATAGGTTTTTCATTGTGTACATTTAGAGGCACCTGCTCAGGTACCATTAGAGTTAGATGTTTTGGAGGTTGAAAAAGCTGTTGAAAATTTACAAATCACAAAAAAATTGGTGTGTTAAATTAATCATTTAAACTAATATCTAGATTTCAGTGAAAATATACACATATTTGTGTCTATATACTTAATTAAAATAAATTTTAATATTTATATTTTAGGAAAATAATGACTCAGAAGACCCAGTATTAGAAACATCTGCTGATGCTCCAGTTATTTAAATTGGACATTAAGATCATAATTCACTGTTCCTTAAGTTAATAGACTGATATTTATGTCAAATGTTATGAAAATGTTATTACATTACCCATGCATTACATACTCCTTAATTTTATCATGGATGTGTATTTTTATAGAATGCTATTTGTTAATTACACTTTGTAATTTTTTATTGCAATTGTATTTCCCTAACTTCTCTGTTATTTTTACTTTTGTTTTTTTCACTTCATAATATTTTAATCAAAATTGTTGCATATAGTTTTATTTATTATTAAAATTATGAATATAATTTTATATTTATACTGAAATCTTTGTTCATATGTGTTATTTAATTTTATTTTTATTTATAAAATTTGTTAAGCTAAGGTTATAGAGGGTATTTTTTAATTATTTACCTTTTAAAAATATCTCAGTAAAATGTATATTTTTAATTAAAATTTTATTTCCAACATATTATAATCAACATTTATTTCTCTACACAAAGATTTTATTTTGTAATGTATTTAATTAAAAAATAATTAAATTTTAATGATTTTATTTTTAGAAAATATGATCTCTTTGTATTATTCAATATATTGATAAAACACATTTCCATAAAATATAAATAGAAAAATATATATATAGTGTGATATTTTTAGTATATATTAACAATGATAAGTTGCTATTTGTAATGAATACTCATGTCGGTTAGGTGACATATATATTTAACTATTAAGGGTGTTTTTAAAGTAAAGCAGTTAGAAAAAAACAATAGATTTTAAATTTGGTTTGGAGTTTAAAATTTTATTGGTGATTTTATAATTAATTTAAATGTATAAATAATTATACAAAACAACTTTTCAACAAATTATTTAAAATATTTTAATAGTATACATTTAAGTATTTGGTATATATTTTATAGGGTATGTAAAAATTATAATATATTATTTCTCTGTTTATATCTTCTATAGTTTTTTAGATAAAAAATATTTTCCGAAATTAAATAAAAACCAATGAAATAAATATTCTTATTTACAAAATACATTTTACACAGGTCGTATATAATAATCTATATGACTAGGGAAACAAATCCTGAGAAGTTTTAATTGAATATTTATTTTAGGTAGCATACAAAAATTACAGAGACATTGTATTTTTTAAAATACATAGAAGATTGATGGATCTGTCGACCACTATTTTTTTCTTAATATAACTAACTGAACTTTTTTTTAAATAATTTTAAATCTAATTTGTATCCAATGAAACACAAGCATTTTTCAACAAAAGGTATAGTATATTAATGAATGTAAAAATAATAAAACAAAATTCTAATACTATATTTAATAAAATATATGTAGTGATTACAAGATCAAAAAATAATTCAAAATAAATCGGATGATTTAAAAATAAAAAAAAAATCGACATGAAATGACGATAAAAAAATAAAATTAAAATTAAACTAGGGAAACGTATTCTCAATAAATTGATTGTAAACTACAACGAAACTAAAGTTTCAATAGTATTTATTGGTATTACCAAGATACATTGTGTATAATTTCCATAGTATAACTAAACAAAATTGAAGTTTCACGTCACATCAGTTGTTATGGAATTAAAATTTATGTTTTTATATGAAATTATTAAGTTTGATGCATAGAAGTTTGTGATTAGCTTTCAACGATTAGGATTTAACGGATACAATAAACGATCAACTACAGATCTCTCGATGATGATCCCATCATAACAATCATGATCGCAAACCTTCTGTGGGATGAATGCCGTTATCAACTCATCAGCAGTGACAGATATGTGTAGAGTTCCATTTAGAGTACCGTCCTCTCTATAATCGCATTGAGACAAACCTATTTTATGAACTAGTGTTGCGTCCGGGTACAAGACATTATTAACCACAGGAACATATTCTATAATAACACCGTTTCTGAAAACGAATTCACTCACTAGACCAACACTGTCATTCTCATTTTCACCTGGCAATTCATTGCCGTTTTCTATCATCTCCAAAGGGTTTTCCATATCATCAAAGTGTTCATCAACAACTAGCTCATTAGAAATACGTCAAGTAAAACATTTACGCGTTTAAAATCAAAAAGAACGATTGTCTGAATNTATCATCTCCAAAGGGTTTTCCATATCATCAAAGTGTTCATCAACAACTAGCTCATTAGAAATACGTCAAGTAAAACATTTACACGTTTAAAATCAAAAAGAACGATTGTCTGAATGTGTTAATATATTTAAACAATAAAAATGTTCATAAATTTACAATAGCAAAATATGTAGGCACCAATTCAACTCTAGGAGTGATGAAAAAACAAATGTTTTTTTCTTAAGTTTTTAATTATTTAGTAACTAAGAAAACTAAAAATATAATAGCCAACCAGCAAAAATATTTAAAGACACTTATTAATTTCAAATGGCCAAGTTATTATTTGTCAATTAAAAAATTCTTATAAAGTAGTGAAGATTATGTAAATATTATTGGCAAAAAGTTTTAAAGAGCCCTAGTTTTAGTAAGAACGCTTAAATTGAACATGTTTTTTTATGATTTTTACTAAAATTCGATGTTGCACTAAATATTTATGTCTAAAAATTAGAATTAAACTTGATTTGTTTAACTAACTATTAGTTTATTTTTAATTTACTAATTAATTTTTATGAATAATTGAATTAGTTGTGTTATTTTAGATCTTACTAGAGTGAGGCAATTTTATGATTGGCCAATCAGTTTGGAAAGTTTTAATGACTCACGCATATTGAACTTGATATAAAAAAAGACTAAGTAGAACATTTTCTTTTAATGATTTTGAAAATATTGAATAAAATTTATTACACTAATTGGATAAGAAATTTGAGTTGAAACTCTATTAATCGTAGTAGTTGTAGTAGACGAAAATAAATGGCGATTATCAGACATTTTTTCTTTAAACGTTCATTTGTAAGTTTCAAAATTACATATGAATAATTAGAATTACAACATTAGAAATCAACGTGTAAACAGTATAAACTAAATAATCTTTTATTGGAAACTGATTTGCAATTATCTGTTTGGGTTACCATTTTTATTTATTTATGTAATGTAGAATTAAAAAACTATTGTTGTATTTGATTATGCGGATTGGTAACAAAGAAATACGTTAATTTTTTGTTATTTTTTTACGAATAAAAATTAATTTTCATTGAAGTTTTTAGATAATTATTAACCGACTTTTAGCGAGAAGTGGTATTGTTTAAAGTATGATTCGGTTAGCAAAAGTGTATATCGATCGGCTCCAGTTTCACTATAAATTTAATTTTAATTTTCACTGTAATATATAATAATTTTTTTTTTTTTATGAAAATTATATAATAAAATCTACATGAGTATTTTATACGAGTTATATTGTATTATGTTTATTAAAATATTCAAGTTTAAATAAAAAATGTAGAGAAATGGATGTTAATTATTTCATAGAGTTAAAAATTCAGTTATTTTAAATTGATTAGGCCTGAAGAAGAAAGACTGCCATCAAATTAATAATATAGCAATTGCATACGTTATTTCAAATTACATATGTATGCATCTAATGTTAAAGTGCCGAGAAACTAATGAGAAAAACGGATAATCCAGTGTAACTTGGTTTATTAACAGGGTAATTAATGAAACAAACGACTCACGGGGGTGCAAAGGAAGGATTCCCAGAAGAGTACATGGAGGTGATTTTAACATTCCATTAGTATGTGGCGTTAAATCGAGTCTATTGCTTTTTAACCTAATAACGCCCGTGTTCTTGATTTAATGTTATTATGTCATCGTAAATCGTAAACTTAATAATAATAACGATAACAACGGCCTTTATAATGATATACTGTCATTTCACTGATTATGCGATCGTATAAAATCATTAAACAAATTATTTCAGTTTTAGTAGATTATGTTTTAATGGAAATTATTTTTTTTTTCAACAATTAATTAACACGGAAAAAGAAACATCAATTTCTGTTTTGTGTGTATCATTTTTGCATCTGTGTTTTTAAATAAATAAATTTATTATGAATTAATAAACTTCAAATCAGATTTTTATGGGTGCACATGAGTAAAATATAATTATTTTTTGTTGATAAGTCTTCTTTTATACTACGACAACGTTATATTTTAGTAAATATTTCGAAAAAAAAATTATCTGAATTATTTTTAAGATAGGAACGGCCAATTTCGCTCATCTTAGAAGTTTTTGCGAAAATGTTTCAAGATGGCGTACAACCGTATAAGTGTAACAGATACACATACCTATTTTAAGGCATAGTGTCCCATACACATAATAGTAATTTTGATAGTATTATGAGAGTGCGTCGTGTGCTTGACAGAGTATGCGGCCCATGTGCGGAGAAAGTGCGAGAAGAGATAAAGTTTTGCCGTCGTTCGGCCGTCCTGCGGGATTACCACAAAGACCTCATATGCGAAAACCACCGGGGGGGTACTAAAGTCTCTTATCTGAGCCCTCCCTCAGCCACCCCTATTCCTACGCATCCCCCTGGGGTGCAGCCATCGTCGTCAGTAGACGTTGAATGATGATTTTAACCCTCTTATCAGCTGCTCATCCATTTTCCTGCATAGCAACTGCTCTTCCACGTTCCTTACCGGCTTTTAGATTTAATGTATCCATAATGTGCCTCTTTTCTGTCTCCCTCGACAATATTACGTCCTATCGCTGATCGGTCTTTCCGCGGGTTCCCTTCGTTCCCTTTTTGCGGTTTTATGTATGGAAATTTCTAATCTATCTTTTCATTAGAGTCGTTCACCTATTCGCATAAGCCACCGCCGCCGTCATCGCTCAAGTCTCCTTTCTTAAAGCCAAAAACCACAACGTGCTCTGGCTTCTTACCACCACTTTCCATCAGGTCTCCCAAATTATCCCCTCGTCTTTTACAACTAGTTAATTAATATTAATTTTGTGTTAAATGTAAACGCATAATAATATAGGACCATCAAAAAACTTCGAACTAAGTATACTGGAAGATGTAATATCATTTATTTTTTTATGAAATATATTACTCGGTGTTACAGAGTTAAGAATTATAGAACTCTAATAAATATTTACAAAAAATATGGGTTTCATAGAAAAAATGCTCTGATTTTGCATTTATTATCGGACGTAAGGTATGCAATTATATGACCAAGTATAAATGAATTACTAAAAAAAAGGGGGGTCGCAGCACAGTGGTGACGTGGCATAGTTGGATCAAGTATAATGATATCTGACAGTGATTAAAATCACTATAAAAAAAAAACGCTTCGATGCAAATCTTTAGATAGTGTTTAGTTTTAAAAAATTTGTAAATTATTCCAAAAGCTACATGATCTGCTATTTTCTTATTAATATCCTGAATGAAAAAG